GATTGACATTAACAATAGTAAGACAAATCATGTTTTTTCTCATTCCACCAAGTAGAGTCACGATCAATCCTACACCAAGAACACCCAAAGTGTTATCAAAATTCTTCCCATGTTTTTCTAGAAACTTAATACTAACTCCTCAAAGAAAAATTTCTTGTATAGTAAAGTAGGAGAAAGAACTCCTAAAATGACTTTTGAAGAACAAACAATCAGGGTACAAACAATTTATGCAAGTTTTACACAAGATAATTTTCCTTTTCACTCACTCAATCTCCTAGAGGATGTGAGACTAATTTTCCTTATATAAAGTATTGACCGACAAATGCATCTACAATAATTTTAAGTCTCACATTTCTTTCTTATAATTATATTCAAGAGTTTATATATTGTTATGCTCTCAACAGTTGCAACCAAGAGTTGAAGCTTGAACCTCCTCACTTAGATGTTTCTCCTTCTGAAAGAGAAAAATAGAGAGTAGAAGTAACTCCTTTTTTGTGACAACCAAGTGTTGATCTATGCTCCTCTTTTTTAAGCTCCACTCCCTCCAAGTCCCTTATAGCTTAGGATAAGTGTGTTCTAAGTATTTATATACATGAGTGTCTTCATAAGGTGCAACCAAGTGATTGAGTGAGGTGCTAGTCATGGCTTGGTGTCCTTAAGGTGTTGGTTGTGCTTGTAGTTGCAGCTGCATTGGAGTTATTTAGCCAAGTGTGTTTTACAAAAGAGAAAATAAAGTTTTTACAATTTTATATAAGGTTAAGTGTAAAAGGGAATTTAAAATGAAAGGCTCCAAAGGAAGAGAGTTTTTAGAGAAGTTTTCTCCTCTTCTATCCTCCAAACCATGGGCTTTGGTTGAGATCGAATGTATTGTGGCCTTGATGATCCTTCATCAACTGTGTAGGATTGATCATTTAAATGTACACATATATTTCAAGCAACATGTTTGAGAAATAATAATTTCTTGAACTGATACACATTTACTTAACTAGTGATTTCATTGACAAATATTGACAAAAATAGTTGATTTATGATTATAAGACCATTGTAGTGGATCAAAGCCAAAATAAATGAAGAACTCATTTTAACAATGATAGTGAAGCTAAAATTGATATGTCATGTTATATATAAACACCAATTAAATACCTAAATTTATATGATTTAATTAGTTGGATTAATTATTAGCCTAGGATGGCATTACATATTTCCATCATAGGAATAAAAATAAATCTTTGCATATTAAAGTTGTAACATAAGATTTTTTACTTGGGTTGAAAAATTAACAACATAATATTTCAGTTCTATTTTACAAGTTACCAAAGTTCGTTTTAACTTACGATATCATTACAAATATAAATAAATATTCAAATATTAAATATATCACATATGATTCCTTATTAGATAGGTGATTGTTAGGGTTTGACCTGGTGTCATGTTACTAATATTTTCTCTTTTTGTGTCTGGTAATAGATTTTATGTCAATAATAACATTTTCTAATTTAAAATTTGATGTTAAGAGTATGAAAACCATAACAAAAATAAGAAAAAGTTAACAATTTTGTACCTAAAAAAAATTATCCACTAAGTTATTCTTAAGATTTTATCTAACCCGAAAATAGTTAACCTACTTACCATGGACCACAATTATTTGAAAATCACATTTTGTTATGATTTCAAATCAACGAAATATTTTTTTATGAAAATGATAAAGAACACTATTAGTAGCACTAGCACAACTAGCACAAGATGGGTGCAATAATATACTTTGAATAATTTTACTATAATATATTTAGATTTTTTTATGAAATTCTAACCCTAGTCAATAAACATGAGGTGATGAATAAAATGAGAGACAGTATATTTGGTTAAATATTTAAAATAAAATATTATTTAGAAAAAGAAAGTACACTGGTTCAACTTCTAAGTTTTGTTTAGATCATAATTCAATTCAATTTAATTTTGTTTTGTTTACAAGAATTCAGGGCTTTGCTATTTGTTATTCTAGAAGAAATTAAAAAACAAAAATAAAGAAGACAAAAAAAAAAGTGCAAAATGTCGTTAGGGAGAGATTGAGTTTCCACCATAACATGATTAACCTAATTTTTCTTTTCTTATGTAAGTACATATTTTTTAAATTAGAATAAATAAATTTGTAATTACTATAAATAATTGCACATTTTATTTTTTAAATTAGAATAAATAAATTTGTAATTACTATAAATAATTGCACATTTTATTTTTTGTAATTAGTTCTAAATATCATTGTAACACACTTTTTTTAATATTTTTTTATATTAAAGATATAAATTAATATCTAATAGAGAAACGATACTTTGACAACCTAATTTTATATAACTTTAATAAATAATTCACTTTTAATATTATAATAATAATTTTAACTTATTTTCATTTTTATTAAATCTCTTTTGTTTTCATTTTTATTAAATCTCTTTCATGATTATTATATTAATTTAATAAAATGGGTTATTTGTTGAGTGGTTTGTCATGTTGTCATAATATCAGCACCCTTTCTAATAATAACGTATCTAGGCATTGTGCTCTGCATTAATCCATTCGTGGTCCTGCACAGTTTTCCTTCGTACTTTGAAGTTTCCTTTCTGAGAACGAAAACCTTTGAAGTTTGACCCTAATCTGTAATTACCAATCTTTTTCTTCGCGATCGCTCAAATCAATTGTTTCTGCGATTGCTCAGATTAACATGTGTGCTGGTGAGTCTTCTTCGTGTCTTCTCCGACACTCAGCTTTTGCACTTCCCAACATTTTTTTTTTTCAATTTTGTTGCTCATAAACCGTGTACTTATGACGGTGATAATTGCACTCACATGAACGAGTTCTTCCAGATTGTTTCGCTTGACGTTTTTCTGAGTTTGCAAGTGTCATTAGCATAGAAATATGGAAAAGTTTATTCTGGAAATGGTCATGGCACATTGTTAATTTAATTGACTACTGCACTGTTGGATTCCAGATAGAAATTTCGTGGTACAATTGCATATTTTAGACCAAGTATAATCGTCATCCACTGTCACTAACATGGTGGAACTCAATCTCTGCCTTCTCGTAGTGAAATGTCATCTCGCAGTCGTTGATAGGGCCAATTTTGTATTTCTGGTCTTGAATTGCAAATTTGAATGTAGCAGAACTCATATGATCATATTATACTCAGAAGAGTCCAAAATATTCAGTGATGGAGTTAGGAGATCATGTTTTTGTGTGAAAAAGGTCACAGCTAGTTAATCATTTGTTAAAGGCGGTTGACCTTTATCAATTTGTTGATCCGTAAACATTCTGAAATTTGATGAGAAAAACGTATTTTTATCTGAACTGAGTCACGTTATGTAAAAATTTTAAACTGATTGGCCAAACTGTGTCTTCCAGCCCAATGGAAATTTTTCTGTCCACGGCATTGTTAGGAGAAATGTGTGACTACTTTGTATGAGTCTTACGGTTTTGTGTTTATAAACTATTTCTAGTTTCAATTCCTAAACATTATGGAACTTTATTTGTGTACCGGAACAATTGCCCCGATCAAGGCCAGTGTGTACTTGTTGGCAAACCTCCACGACAAGCGGGAGCTGAATGTTGAGTTTGCCGCCCCCTTTCCCTCTATTTCTCAGTAACCTTTCTCTCTAATCCTCCTTTGTCTTCACTTCTCTTTCCCCCGACCTTTTGGATCACCCAGTATCCCCTTTTTCCCCGTTAATTTTCTTCCTTTTTGTTTTTTTTGGGATATAAGACTTTAAATTTATCCACTTTTATCCCTTTCCATTTTTGCATTTTGGGGTTTTGTTTCCTTTTTAGGATTCCAATTTTCAGTTGTATTCCTTTTCCCATTGGTGGTTGCCTCTGAATTCTTGATCCAACATGTTTTCCTTTTTAAAATTGTTTTCTGGGTTTTTGCTGAGTTGAAGTTGTTAATCTGAGAGAAATGAATTAAAATAAAAACATTGTCTTTCTTATTGGATTTTTGGGTGTTGATATCCTGGAAAGCTATGAAGGTTTTGCTTTTGATTTTAAAATGGTGCCGTCTTTGGTGTTACCTTAAATGTGACCATCAAAGTTACCCACAAACTGTTTGATGAAATGTTTGAAAAAGGACGTGGTTCGTTGGATAACTGAGTTCAAATTTGTTGTCGCATAAGTGATACTGAAATATATAATGGTGTGTTCATCTGTTACTGAAATATATTGTATAAGTCATGTACAATGTTGAAACCACTATATAATCAATTAGTTGAAATTTCTTGTGAGAAAATTGTATTTACATTTTACTTCGTTTTTTCAGTGAATCAGATTTGCAATTCAAAATCAAATACTTTGGTATGATTTTATGCTTATTGTTACGGGTATTCACATGGAACATTGTGAAGAAAATATGTTATGGGCATGGGGTCTAATTACTTTTCTAGTAAATCAAATTGCTCAAATTAACAAGTTATTGCTTTGTATCTCAGTTACGGAGGTTTATTTATGTAGTTATGGATGTTAGTATCTAAAACTACTTTGGTCCCTTGATCATTGAAAATGAATATAAACTGTCTTATGCTTCTCCAGCGTCTGGGACAAGACGTCCTCAAGTAGCACTCTCTTTCAACTAGAATCACCCATAAGAAAGACACTGCAGAGTATAACTGTGCACTGTGACTGATCCTGTTTATTGTGACCAACAAGACTTTCTTACAATGCCATATAGTATTTTCACATGAGTCCGTGACATTAAACAAAAGTAATCAGAAAATTTAAATTTTTAAGTTAACCGGCTGTTACTTTCTATTCCATTCCAGGTCATAAATAGTAGTCTACAGGTTTACCATTTTATTTAGACTTCACCTTAGCCAAAACCCCTGAAGCTAAACATATCAATGCACACCCATAGGTAAATTAAAGTCTTCAAATACTATCTTTCCTTAGTTCTGTTTTTCTTTTATTATTATTACAAATCATAAGTTATATTTTGAACATTTGCAGCTGAGGTGAAAAGAGCTATGGCCTCAAAGCTGGTTTTGCAAAGAACGCTCTTCAGGTTTTTGCAACTGTTATCTCCTACTTCTTCCATTCATGCAGTCCCGTTCCTTTCTGTAAAAGCTTCAGAATTCACATCCCTCTATAGGAAGAATAGCCTTCTTCCTCCTCTCTCATCTTCTTCTAGAAGCTTGTGCTCTCGCAATTTTAATCTTGATGAATCTCAAGGCCCCCTGACTATGGATTACCGGTATGTAATTGTTTTTTATTCGTTATGTTCTTTTTTTGATAATTCTCTTAGTCAATAGCACCGCTGTTCTGGCATATCACCTTCTCCAGAAAGTGTCGGCACTGTCGCCTGTGGGGGTCTGTGCTATTGTCGATCAGATCTGCCACCTTCAATCTCAGTTTCATTTTCAGCAGAGGTGGTGTGGTGGCTAGTAGGTAGAAGGGAGCTGACTGATCCTAGTGGTGGTGAATTACAGTTCGGTAGAAATGGACCATGTGGGCCAAATAGTTTTCAGTGTTCCTATTCCCTTTCCGCTTTAGTGGTTTTTGACTCACTCTGGGATTGAATACTAAGATTTGATTCTTGGAAAGCATAAAAAGTTGAACTTGATGGTTTTAGCTTCGTTTTTTTTTGACAAATCCTATTTGAGTTTTCAAATTTCAATCGTGGTATTCGTTTATCAAAAATAATTTTGAAATTCAAAGCATTTCTGGAACTAGTTTTGTGTTTGACAGTGGTGTATTCGTAAGTTTTCGAAGATTCATGTCAGTCACGTGCTAATTCCCCAATGAATATAGCATATTGAAATTGTTTGATTTGTTTTTTCAGTAGGTGGAAATGACTTTGCTAACTATTAGTGTGAGTGCAGTTCTTTACTGGAGGAGGGTGAATTCCACAGACTGGCTGATTCCACAATTCATACAGTACAAGAGAAATTAGAGGTATCTCCAGCATTACTGTGTTTTGTACCAACTTAAATTATATGGTAATCACAAGTCCTGACATTTATCACAAATTTTGCTTAGGTTATCAACTTCCTGCATTTTTGAAATGAAATCAGAATATAATTATGCTTAAATCAACAGGGTTTCATTGGAAGATTGTCTAACGTGTGGTGGTGGAAGTTGAGAGCCACAATGCCTTCAATTCATATTATTTGAAATTTAGGCTATATTGGGTATTCATTTGTTGTTTGTTGCCTGACAGGACTATGGAGACATGGTTGAAGTTGATGGGTTTGACATAGACTATGGGGTGAGAATTTCTTTTTTTTTTGTGAGAAATAAGTTATAGATAAAGGATAGATAACAATAATTACTTGTCAACAGAAAACTATCCTAGAACAATGCATATATTAGAAGGAAAACATGAAGTTGTCGTGTTTATCAAGTGGTTATTTTGGAGAATCACAATTTTAACTTGATAAGATTTGCTTGAATGAAATTCAGTGTAATGTTTGGTCTTTTGAAAATAAATAGCATTGTAGTTTTTTTTTCCTTTCTTTCAAGGTTTTAATTATTTTCTTCTTGTTACTTTACTATAAATGGCTTATTTTGCTTGGTGGTGTATTATTTGTTTTGACATGGCTTTCTATTTCAGAATGATGTTTTGACTATAAAACTTGGGGATCTTGGCACCTATGTATTGAACAAACAAACACCAAATCGACAACTTTGGCTGTCTTCACCACTGAGGTATTGTATATGCGCTATCTGTCTATGTATGGTCAAATATTTAGTTAGATTTTTGTAAGGTTTAGACTCTAGACATCTGTATTCATGTATTAAATTGCATGTGAATAAGTTTTTCCGCAGCCGGATACATAGACTTCTCTAGTATCTTGATAAAACTCCATCTTGTAGTTAGATGTTATCAAATAATTTTTGCAATGAAATAAAGCAGGGTTCCTAGATTGTGTCTTTGAGAAGAATTGGTCAATGTAGCTTAAACTTTTATTTTTACTTGTCAAATGTTAGGAGATATGGAGTTTTTAAGAATTTAGATACAAAAACAGTAAAATGCAGAAAGTAAACTAATTTCCTGGAAAAGCTGTAAATGAAAGCAAGCGATAAATCTAATCTTAAAAATGCTTTAAAAGAAATGTGATACATCTAATTCTAATTCTATGAAAGTATTTAAAGGAAGGAAATTAAGGAAAAACATATAAATCTACTCTATAGAGTGCAGTAAAAACAGAATTAGAAAACAAAAAAATAATGATTGAATCTCCAATCATTTTATCATAGATTTCTAGAATTTGTTTTGCAATTACAAAATAAATTTACAACAGCTCCAAACAATTACAACCCAATTAAAGTAAAGAAACACATCTTAGGATAAATCTTTATATATTTTTTTAATTTATTATTTATGCAAAAATAAATGAATGACTAATTAAAATGTACAAATAAGTAATACTTTAGATATAGGGATATTTATTTCTATTTTATGAAAATTATGTTAATAATTAATTAAAAAAATATACTAAATATAGATAAAATATATTAATAAAATTATTGATAAAATGTGTTCATTTGTGATAATGAAAGGAGAAAACAGAATATTGGTGATAACCAATCAAAAGATGATAAAAACATTTTCTTTAAAAATTAATGTTTTAAACACTTTTTACTATTGGTTAAATTTATTGAAAATTATAAAATTATGAGTTAGACTCATTAAAAAATGTGACTAAAAGTATTGTGTTTTTCAGTCAATTTGAGTTAATTAGAGAGTATGTTACAGAATGTATCGAAGCAATTCTTTTGTAATTTGTGTATTGAATTATACTATTAGTTTAATTTCTTAGTGTGGGGATATGTGCAGTATTTTATGCCAGGTTCATTTACCCAGATTTTTCTCTTTTAGGAAAAAGTACAAATAACCCCTTTTATAAATTGAGATCAGACAGGAGTATTATTGTTTATATTCTACAATTCTGTTAGGATATACCTTGTGTAGAATAATTCTGCCCAATCTTGTCAGTTAGCTCCACAACGGATGGTATCTTATAGTCATAGATCTACCCTCCCTGCTTTTTATCATCAGTGTAGAACACATTCAACCTTAAGTGATACCGTGAATGATTATAGCCATGACATTTTATAGATCTTTATCTGATTCAAAGACTTCTAATGCAGCTTTATTTTGTTAGAATAACTTTCTGCTACTTCTGTTTATTTACTTAATCTGCTATCATGGATTACATGTATGTATGATCTCTTGGGCTTGTCTTGTGCAGTGGTCCGTCAAGGTTTGATTGGGATCGTGATACAGAAGCTTGGATTTATAGACGGAACAAAGCAAACTTGAATAAAATTTTGGAAGGTGAGTTGGAGGAGTTATGTGGCAAACCTATAGTTCTTTCTTAAGCTGTTGATAAGGTGTCGCCAAATCTTTATTTTTTATTTACAATACAAATTAATTGCATTGTGGTAACTTATCCTAGCATTTTTGGCATCCTGTTTGAGGCTTCTAGGGATACTGGGCGTGCATGATAAATGTTTTCAAAAAGCCCTTAGTGTTAAGCCCTTGTTCGCCCTAACGATGTACTGGGCCATGTTTCACACAAGTAATTTCTGATTAATTATGGGAAGACTATTATTTTAATTATAATAATTATGTTGTTTTAATGTTTTTCTCTGGAATAAAGTGAACATTTCACACAATGTTCCATGTATTTGAATACTTTGCTCAAAAATTTATTCCAATATTAAGATTGTTATTCATAAATGTTTAATTTAATTCGGGGAATCTTATTTCATATAAATATTTGAATTTTTGTATTAATATCTGTCTTACAACATGAGAACATTTTAGTAAAATTGCTTATGCAACAAAATTAATTATATAAGTATTATTTTGTATATTTTAATAATAATTTTGTTAAACATTTTACAACTTCCTTTTTTATTTTGCATCAACTCAAACTTTTTTTCTTAAAGAAAAGTGTTAAGAATGTGTTTTTTATTTATTTATTTACAATTCATTACAATATTAAATTATAAAAGATATTTATTAAACAATTGAGTTTAAAAGCTATATAATTTTTTCACCAATTTTAATCAATAAATAAATCATGTTGAAATTTTGTATTAATGTATTATTAACATTTTCATTTAAATTCTGTTATCCTCTGACCATAAAGAATTTTCACTTTATTTTGGTCTAACCAGCTGGCAATGGTAAATAGAAACCCATTCTTTAGGACATTTATTTTATTCTTTTATGAATTTTAAAAAATATATTTTCTATACCTTATTTTTAATAAAAGGCACGCACGTCCTGATACAAGTATATAGTTTAAATTCATTTAGATTTATATCTCAATTATATTTAATTATTTAGCTTTATAAATGTATATTAGATAAATTTTTTTTATTTGTATATATGATACAGTCAACTTGCTTGTGTTATGGACATATAAAAATATAACTTTTGACTTGTGTTATGGACATATAAAAATATAATTTGAAATTTGTACGGATATTTTTGGTATTATGAATATCTAATCTTAAATGATTTAAGATTCAACTAGTGAGTCCATATATGTTCGATATTGATTTATAGATCGACAATAAATTATGGTATATTATATAATAATATAAAATCTTTTTATTTTTAGTATTTTGAGATGATGAGATTACTTTTATATTGATTCATTCTTTAGATTATTATCTAGTTGAATATTGAATATTGGGTATTCGGTCGAAAGAAGAATAAATTGATATAAATATAGTTTTGTGGTCCCAAAGGATTTTAGAGGTTGTGTACTATTATGCATTAAGCCACAACTTATGTTGATCTATAGTCAACATCGAGTATATACCAAGTAGTTGAATGTTAAATCATTCAAGACTAGATATCATGATGGTAAAAAATACAAGTCCATGTTCTTAATTCCTCTCAAACTATTTCACTCACTCTAATAATATTAAGACAATGATCATTATTGGCCTAAACCATAGGAAAAGTAACTAAACCCCAAAGATAAATAAATTAAATATAAGAACAAAAAGGTTAACTTACTTTTTTAACTAGATAAATGAGAGGAGAAATTAAGAGAATTCATTTCACTTTGCTACAAAAAAACCCTAATATAATTGTATTGATGATTAAATTCTATAACTTTTTGGATAAGCATTTGTAAAATTATTTTTCATAGAAATTGATTCTAAAATAAAATAATTTATCTTAGAATGTTATCCTAAAAAATATTTGAATTTGTCTTAAATGATAAAAGATTATATTAATCAAAGAAAATAACTCGGATAAAAATCAATCAGTTATTTACAAACATTTTAATAAATAACATGAAAGTTTAATCAATTAAGTTGTGGAAGCCTATTTTCAAGAAACTTGATTAAAAATATGAAAATCGTAGTTTTACCGATAAAACTTTAAAATATATAATGATCTCGAGTTTTAATGGTTTTAATCAATTAATTCAAATCAACTCTTGTCTAAACTACTTTTTTTATTAATAAAAGGTTTTAAGATGAAGTTTTAATACAAATTATATATAATTTTGGATATTAGAAGAAATTGATGAATTAAAGATAAAATAGAAAATATTAATTAGAAGAATTTTATCTTAGACGATGATCAGGAAAGTAAAAATGCTGTGAATGGAAGAAAGAAAAAAAATGAAAAACTTGAGTGGTCTATTTTTATTTTTAGTGTGAGAATGATAAGAAGACAACAAGAGAACAGAGTTTGGTCTCATATTTATAATGAAACTTAGCTTAAAAAGGAACTTCTGAACCAAAATATCTAAAATTAAGTTTTTTTAATTATTTTCGCACTTATTAAGCTTCAATTAATTAATTATACTAAAATAGTTGATAATGAGAAAATTAGGTCATAAAAAGATGAGAAAGACATTATGTAAAATAAAAAAATAATGCCCTTAATTATAAATTAAAATTATATATAAAATATCCTTAATTAATTTCCGAATCATTAACATATGATTCTTATGTATTATCCAAAAATAATTAGTTAGTAAAGTGAATGAAATCCTACTGTAAAATAATTAATGTAAAGTAAATTCATCCCTGACATCCTAATTTAAAATAAAAATGACACTGGTGTAAAATAATTTATACTGATATAAAATAATTAATTAATGATTGACATAAAATAAATTATTTACTGTTGCTTTAATATAATTACATACTAATATAAACACAATTTATTTATGATATAAAAGAAAAAATATTTTCCTTATTTATTTATTTATTTGTGGCAACATGAAACATTGAAAAAATCGATTCAGATAAGTGGATATTTTAGTAAATAAAATGAGAGATAGGTTATTTGGATAAATAAATAAAGTATATTAAAAAAAAATCGTGATTCAAAGTTAGGTACTATGCGTTATTTTATTATGAAAGATATGATGTGTGTTTGGGAGTGTTAGTTTTAATTTAGTGGAGGAAATCGAAATTACAACTGCAGAAGTGTTAGCTGAGCAAGTGTGAAATGGGTGGCGTGGCCCCAAGGTTCCTCTTCCTCCTCGCCACTCCCCTCCCTCTTCTCCGCCGCCACCACCACCACCGCAACCTCTTTCTCCTCTCTTCCCATTCCCTCCGTCTCTCTTCTTCTCCTTCTTCACTCTCTTTCTCATCTTCACCTCTCCCACTCAAACTCAGAGCTTCCCAAGCTTCTTCTCGCTCCTCCTCTCCATGGCCAGAGTGGTCCTCTTTCCTCTCTCACATCTCCTCAGCCGGCTACCTCTCTTCCCTCCCCGACGATGCCTTCGCCACCGTCGCCGGACACCTCTCTCACTCCTTCCTCCGCGACGCCACCGCTTGCTTGGCCTTCGCGCGCGACCGCCCTAACCTTCTCAGGTTCCCTTCTTTTATTTTTTCTCAATTTCAATTCGACTTTGTTGAATTTGATTCCGAATTGAATTGAATTGGACTGAATGGTGGTAGGTTGCTTTCTACGAGAGACATTGCGACCGTAGTTGAGCACGGCTCCCCCTTTCTCTTCCGCGACGCCGACGATTCCATCAGGAAGATGAAGTCCTTTCTGTCCAACGGTGACGCCAATGTTAGTTAGATGCTTTCTCCTCAGTTATTCTCTGTTTTTGTTTTCACTGTTTTTCTTTTCGCTGTGGATAATGTTAATTTGCTCGTGTTAAGGTGCAATTGCGTGGTTTAGCAATTTTAAACATTCACAATCGCGTTAACTATGTTTATGCTGACAATTAAAACATTATCGGTTGCTTATAATTAGTATTTGATCTAGTAACCGTCAAAATTCAACCATAACCTCGCTTTAACAAGCCTTCGAGTTCAGAGCTGGGCTTGTTCTTATTTCTCAATGTGAAATGTTGCAAATTGACATGATTGCTATCATGGATGAATGTAATTAGCATATTGGTGTGTGCAACGAGAAACTATGAAGCAAATCCAAAAATAAATATAGTGGTTGGAATTTTTGACTGTTTAACTACTCCTATGGGTCAAAAGAAATATGGAGATTGACTGCAAAACTGAACTTATGCCAAGGATCACCGTTTCGAATCATTCGAAATAAATTAGACAGTACGTGGGAACCTATTTTTATCAAGTCTTAAAGTATAATTTCAAATTTGACAAGTGCATTGAAACTGTTGGTGATCTAATTGTGCTCGATATGTTCTTTACAGGTGTTGGAAACTGATAGAGCAAATACGGTTGACCTAATGAAGTTTTTGCTGAGTTATGCAAGTGATCCATTTGTCCCTTCAGAAGGGAACAGTCTCAATAAAAGAAATCTTATTGAGTCATCTGTCAGAAATCTCTTTGGTGAACTTTTCAAGCTGAGTTATAGTGCGCCTCCACCAAACTCTTTTGATTCAGTGCAAAGTCAAATGAGTGGAAGATTCGGACAAACAAGGCCTCCTGGACAAAAAATTGAAATGAAGAGGGGTGATTGGATTTGCCCAAGGTACTATTTTATAACTTTTAATTTTAACAAATAAACTATCAAATATGTTACTTAGTGTAATGCTGGAACACCAAGGTTAGAGTGTGAAGCAATTGTTGTAGTTAATTTTGTTTCCTCAAATATTATACACCCTTCTGATAAGTCTGCATACTCTCTGATATTGAGCAGGTGTAATTTCATGAATTTTGCACGAAATATCAAATGTCTTGAGTGCGAAGAAGCAAGGCCACAAAGGCAACTTGCTGGAGGTGAATGGGAATGTCCTCAGTAAGTATTATCCCCCCCTTTCAATTTTTTTTTCCATGAAACCTTTGTCATATACATCCAATTAACAGGATTTTCAATATGAAGGTGTGATTTCTATAACTACGGGAGGAACATGAATTGCTTGAGGTGTGATTGCAAGCGACCTGGACAAATATCTTTGGGTGCCCCCAATACCATGTCAAATATGGAGTATGAAAATGGAAACAATCCTAATACATCAGATTTTGATGCTAGGTTAGCTGCCAATGAAGAAAAGGCACAGCGTTGGTTTAGCAAGGTTTCTCAACAAGACAGCAGTGCTGATATTAACAGTGTGATAGCAGATGAAGATTTTCCTGAAATAATGCCACTGAGGAAAGGAGTAAATAGATTTGTCGTGAGTACGAGAAAGATTCCACTGGAGCGGAGGTTGGCTGATGCTCGATTCAAGAGAAACTTGTCCAATAATGATATTCCTGGGATTGAGGATTTTAAAGCTGGCGAGCCAATCAAGTTCCATGACAATCTTGATGACATGCCAGGTCATTCAGCTGGCCTTCCTCAATTTGACAATAACAGCATTGTTGCTGAACCAAATGCTAGTGAAGAGTGGCAACCTTCTTTTGCTAGCAATACTTCACATTTTAAAAATGTACAGGGGAGCTACACTAGTACTGTTCCTCCCAGTCCATCGTCTGCACTTGCCCCAAAGTCTGATAACTTGCTTGGAGAGGAGAGCAAAAAGGTGGTATTAGACACCGATATGGGATATACTAGTTTGGGACCCCGTTCACAACTTTCTAATAATTCTACAAATATCAGAGAGGACAAGGAGAAAGAACAAGTTGAAAAATCTGAGAGATGGTTTAAAAAGGTTGCTGAGCTGAACGATTTTCCTGATATAACAAGTGCAATTTCTGATGAGGATTTCCCTGAAATAATGCCTATGCGAAAAGGAGAAAATCGATTTGTTGTTAGCAAGAAAAAGGATCGTTCTTTGACAACACCAGCATATAAGAGACAAGCGGCCATGGATCAAGCTAGCAAAACCAACTTTGTCCCCTTTGTTCCCTTCCCCCCGGATTACTTTGCCAAAAAGGACAAGCTGCAAGCAGATGGAACAGATTCAACAGATAGGTCTGATGATGGTAAATCTTCCATATCTAAGGTGGCAGAGAAGGCTGCTGAGATGTCAGATGACCCTAGAACTAAACCAGGACATAGTCCAAAGCCTTCCGAACAGAGCTCAAATTACAATGATGTTGGCTCAATGCATGTGGCAGGAACCAGTGGAAATTCAAGTCAGAGTTCCAATCAAGATCATGTTCCAAATTTGACTGGGAGTTCATCCCCAGGTACAGCATCTGAGAGCCAGAGTGGTAGGGCAGAGTGGACAGGAAAGAGTTTGGAGGGGTCAGCCGTAAAGGAACCAGATCCTTTGGACATGTCAGAGGAGGCAAAGGCAGAGAGGTGGTTCCGGCGAGTCGCACAGATTAAGGATATTTCTGAGCTCAGTCAGATTCCAGATGAAGATTTTCCTTCAATAATGCCTATGCGCAAAGGGGTGAACAGATTTGTTGTAAGCAAGAGGAAAACGCCATTGGAAAGGAGATTGATATCTCAACAGGGCCGAATAAATCTTCCAACTGTGAGCTCAGATCCAAGTAAAAATGAAAATGAAGGTAGCTGAAAAGTAGTTGTATTATTAATTTATCATCCATTTGCTTAATTTTTCATTTCAAGTTAAAATGTTGCTGGCAAATATAGAAAAGGGATGATGAAGATGCTGGAAAACATCAGTACTCAAACCTTTTTATACTTGTAACAGAATTTTGACATCAGGTCTATATTTTGATGAGGGACCAGCTTCTGAAATTTCACAAAGAAGTGAGGTATTAAAAAGTAATACTTAATTTTTCTATCCAGAATGTATTAAGCATGTTAGGTTGAGTATCCCTCATATATGTTTCTCTAAGATTCACATCAATATGACAAAACTTTTTAATGGCTATCTTCATGTTTTGAGATTGCCTATCCTTTCAGTGATTTATTATTATTAGGCTTAAACATAATTTTGATCCTTAAAAAAATAAGAAATTTTTATTTGATTAATAATAAAAAATTTCTTGACTTTTGTTCTGGAGATCTTTACTATTTTGCATTTGATTCCTCTTTAATACATTGTTAGTATTAATATGATATGTGATATGTTACTATATATAGAATTGTTTAAATGGACTTGATTCTATAGGTAAAAAAAATACATGGTCATCTATATTTTAAAATAGATTCGATTATATATTAAATGGATTAATTTTGGTTTGATTGGAGATAAATAATAATTAATTAAAAATTTAAAAAAAATTTAAAAAAACTTTTAAAATTTAAGTTATATTAACAAAATTAATCTTTTGTTTTTATAATGATTTAATATATAAATTATAGAAAATAATTTATTTATTTTAAAATAAAATTAAAGATTTATTTTTTATTATCATTATTATTTTTTAATAATCTAATTATTTAAAATATATTAAATCTATTTTGATACATTTAATTATATATAATAAAAGTTGTATAAGTTATTATGATAAAAAAAAGTTGTATAAGTTATTATGATAAAAAAAAGAGGGTTAAGAAACCAAAAGAGAAATTTTAAAATATTTTTTAATAAATTAAAATAGTAAATATCAATAAAAATGATAAATAAATAAATATTTTTCGAGAACTAAATATAAAATATGTAAATATTTCAAAGATTCTTAATTAATTAAAAAATGTTAAGGAATATATGTTAACTTTTTAAGGAAAAAACATATTTAAATTTTATTATTAATATTATTATTAAATGTCTCATTTTAATGAATTTAATGATAAATCTTCTATTAATCCTCGTTCCTCAAATTTCTCTTTTCTTTTATTAGACATAAATAGGATAAAATTAACAAAATGTCCCTTTATTATGGGTTTCTTATATTTTCTACATGTTATAAAAATATTATTATCTTTATTTGTTTTATAGAATTAATAATGTACATAAATATTTTAAATCTTAATAATTTTTTAAAAGGATATAATGGTGTAAACTATATATGAAAGATTAGTAGAAGAATCTATTAAATATGAAAAATCAAACATAACGTGGATCTTAATTAGAACTTCATTATTTCTCTTCTAAAATTCATTTCCAAAACACTTTCTTTAGAGACGTACTCTTAGGCCTTTTTCTAAAATTATTTTCAACTCACTTGATATAAAATAATATATCAAATCCTTGAGAATGAACTAGTGTTCCTTGACTCCCACCACTAAAGAACAATACGAGAATATCAAGATTTTCAAAGATCTTAATAGGCATTGATAATTTGAAAGATATATCTATCTTCATTGTGAACTAGTCATTTTTTATGAAAGGTGAGATATATCTATCTTGGTTAGAGTCTCTCTTTTGAATTCTAATTACCTACAGTATGAGTGTGTAGTTAATGGTACGGGGTTAACTACTCATCATATACAATCTTTCATAACTTTAATGTTAGTTTGAAAAACTAAATCATTTCACAAAGATTAAATATTCAAATTCATATCACTAGAGCATTACAAGTATGTGAAGCATTATTGAGAACTTTTCACCTTCAAATAATTCATAAATTGTAAGACCATATTATTAATCTTGCATTACCCTCATGCAAAGATGATGTTTTATTTGTTTTTGTCAACAATCTAGAAGAGGCACCTTCCTTTGTTCGAATCCCTCAAAATATTTTCCAACATGATTTATCAAAACTTATTTCAATGTAAAAGAGTCACCAACTATGAAAAGTTACAGATAAATAAAAAATTCATTCAATTTACTAAAGCAACTTTCATGATATTTGTGGATGGTTTTATTAGAACTATCTTAAAAAATCGATAAAAATATCTAATGCAAGTTTATCCATATTCCAATCAATGATTATTTGTCTTATCATGAAAGAAAGAAAGATTGTGATCACAAGTGTTTACTTTGATGGAAAACCTATCTTCATAAACAAGAAAAACAAATACTTTATATTAGATAAAACTCTTGAGTTGTGTGAACCTGATTGTAAATGTTGATGACACACTACAGATACTAGTGATGAGGAGGATGATGGAGAAGATGAAGATCATCAAGGTGGATGCTACAAGCCACCATCTTCTCCCTATAGGAGATTTGAGTGTGGAAAAAGACTATGGACTAGACTCCATCATCAAGAGAAACATGTCTCCGTCAACTCTGTAAAAGAGGTCTAGAAATCCTAAAAGAAGAAGGGCTTCTTCACTGAAAAAGATCATGTGTAGACTCCATCCATACTTCCTACTACTTAACCTATTCCTTGTAAATAGGTGTTTGGAGGTTTGAATTCATAGTTTGGAGGGAGTTGGTGTCAAGATGGAAAGATTTCAGATCAGCAAGTTCCACAGGTGTCTTGTGAAAAGTTCCACAACCTGTGGATTTGATACTATAATGCAAAGATCGAGATCAGAAAGCTCCACAGGTTGATTGTGGATTTTTCCACAACCTGTGGATTTGTGGTCCAGAATGCACAGTTGAAGTCAGAGAGTTCCACAGGTGAGTTGTGGATTTTTTCACAACCTGTGGAAATTCAAGACGGTTATGATAAGTAGTAACTAACTCAACAAGTGGAGAAAAAACGTGGAGAGATCCTATAAAGAAGGTGAAACGAAACTGAAAAGGGGGGACTGGGGAACCATTCTCCATGTTTACGTTCTAGTTATTATCTTTTTGGCAATTTTTACATTATGCAAAACTGAATTCCCTTTTGTAAGAGGATTGATGTAGTACTCTGAATTATATTTTCTTGTTCTTGACAATTGATGTTTAGTTAATGTTCTTTATCTCAGTATTCTATTTACAATTTTCAAATTCATTCCACGAGCAGTTTCACAATTGGAAGATTGGAAGTTGTTCGCGATTCTAAATATAACAAGTTAGGGTTTGTCAATATCCCACTTCCATAGTCATGTGAGAAGTACAATATCCTCATTGTTCTTGCAACTCGAAAATGTTACTTCTCCAACCTTTTTCAAATACTTTCAAATATTGAAGTTTAAATTCAGCTTATACAAATAATCCACCACGTCCAATTTAGAAAGTTTCTGGATCAAAAACTTCCGCACCTATCAATCCCAAAAAAAAAAGGTAATTTGATCTTTTTCAAGGTACAAGTTAAAATTATGGGGTGCAAGAAGGAATAACTTAAACAAAAATTGCAAGAGGATTGAATTGAGTTCAGGTGACGAAACCACTTAACTTCGAAGTGCTTATAGTAGATTTCAGTACCCTTCCTTTTACCATATATTATCTCGATTAAAATTGATGACCTAAAAGTTAAAAAACGTAATAATTTTTGCGTTATGCTTGGTGAACTATAAAAAATAATATTAATTATTATTATTATTATTATAATCTAAGCAATAATGTTTATTTCTATATAACTAAATTTTATTAAATAGATTTCTTTAAATATATAAATTTTACAATGACCAAGGTTATTTTTAACTTATCTTTGAATCTATACATTATATTTTAAATTTACAATTAATGTATTAAATTTTTATGTGACATTATTTTTAACTATTAACAATTTTTTCCCTTAAAGATCATTTAAAATTAATTTAGAGATATTGATGAAATGAGATAGATTGAAAGGGTTGGGTAGTTATCAAAATAAAGATAAAAACAGTAAAATGAGATTATTAAAATATTTCAAATTATTTACAAAATTGCATACGAAATACATTTTTTTAATTTAAAATATTTCTTGACAGAAATTATTGACAACTTCCCAAACACTAAAATTTATTTTGGGTTAGCCTCTCTACATATACTTTTCATATTTTCCAAATGCACGGATCTTAATTGAATTTTTCCTTGATTTTTCAGGGATAAAATTATTTATTAACTGTGTCATTAATATATATATATATATATGAATGTTCTGTTAGGTATAATTAAGGTTTGGGTGTATTTTTCAATTGAGAAAAAGAACATGGGGACAACAATACAACCAGAAAATGGTGGTTGGCGATTTATTTCTCATTGACAGCTCCATTATCCTCTTACGTGGCCAAATCTGGATCACCATTTCATATGCTGTCCTTGTTCTCAAACTCAATTTCACTTGTTCAATCTCTTGCACAAGTAAGAAAATGTTGGTATTTTTGGTATTTTTTTTAAACTGAGAAAGTAAAATTATATAACTACAAACCATGGTTGTAAGGAGATAAAAAGTGAATTATACTCTTTTTTTTTTAATTTAAATTTGAACAAGGTTGCATTTGTTTTTTACATCAGCATGTGTTAAAGAGTGTATCTATCACCATAACTTCTCCAAATACAATAGCATGTCTATAAATGAAAAACAGAATCTGGTTCCACCTCAACCTCATCTCTTTGGTTCTCCATCCAGGTTCATGTCTCTAGCAGTTTCTTCACCAAAATGGTTGAACAATTGTGTTCAAGCACTCATCTCAATTCTATGTTGCGTCGTTTTCCTCATGTTTGATCTTCTTGATTCTGTTTTTTGTGTTATCTATGGATATCTTGATAAACTCATTGAAGGGCAGGCTTCCCCTTGTTGCTGCTCTATCTGGGAGAGGCAAAAGAGGAGGATGAATGTGACAGATGATGGTCTATCAGATAGCTTGTTTGAGAGAAAGAACACTTTCAGAGAAATGGGATTCTTTCAATATGAGAGAAAACGCGAAGATTCCAATACAAATTTTAATAAAGATGGTGGAATGTCAGTGAACAGTTGGTCTGATTGTGGCTGTGAGTCTTGTCTTTCATGGGTGAATGATGGAAGCGACTTTAAACTTCATTTTGTTGTAAAGGAACCCTTGTTGGGTAGGTTAGTTCTACTAGTTTGGTTATTATTTTTGAAACAGAACTTGAATATAGTTTTAGTTTTATAGGTCTTTGCAGTAATGTTTTACTATGAGAATTGAAGTTTTTATCTCGATAATAATTTTAGTAAGATGAATAATTAAGATTTGCATTAAAGGTCAATAAGAATTATAAACATAAATATCGAAATTTGATTGGGGAAAAATACCAAAGCAATGTTTTGTCTTACTATTATTTGGTGACCATTTTCATGTTTCTATGTATTTTTCCCTGTAACTGACTTTAGTTGCCAATTGATGTTTGACAGCCACTGGTGAGAACTTCCGAGGAAAACCTTCTGAGAATGTCATATTCTTGCATGGATTTCTCTGTTCTTCCTCATTTTGGACACAGACAGTGTTTCCATATTTTTCTGAAAAGGTGAATCACAAGTACAGATTGATTGCCATTGACCTGTTGGGATTTGGCAAGAGTCCAAAGCCTAGAGATTGCTCATACACTTTGAAGGATCACGTAGAAATGATTGAGAAATCTGTGGTTCAACCTTTGGAGTTGAGTAGCTTTCATTTAGTTGCACACTCCATGGGTTGCATAATTGCATTGGCCTTGGCTGCTAAGTACCCCAAGTGTGTCAAATCAATCACCCTTGTTGCTCCCGTAAGTACTTTAGACCAAACTGGATACTTTGCTTATGAGGTTTGAGAAGTGATCTGCTCAGAACCAAATTAACATTTTTTGTGCTTACATATTTGTCACCAACTAACCTTGGAAACTAGAATTAATGGTACCTTAATTCTGCAGTCAAAACAAGTGCTTTATTTGTTGACAAATACCAACACGTACTCTTAAATTTAAAAAAAATACATTATTTCTATACTTTTTAATGTAAAATTTGGATGTCTCCTAAATTTCTCCATTCCCCAAATGGTTTTGGTGACAGCCATACACTTCTTCTGACGAAAATGATGCTTGTCTAAAGACACTATCAATGCTTGCTGGAAAGAAATTGTGGTCCCCATTGTCGTTTGGTACTTCTTTTATGTCATGGTATGAGCACTTGGGTCGTACTGTTTGCCTCGTCTATTGCAGAAATCACAGAATATGGGAGAGCATTCTAAAATGCATTACTCGCAAGAGGTAGGGAAACATATATTGAAAATCTATAATACAAAACAACATACCACATGTTTCAAGTTTCTTTCTCATATATTACTTAGGACACATTAGACATGATATGCATAACGCACGTCTTTCTTTTCCTTTACAGGGATCTTCATTTCTTGACAATAGACTTGGCCAGGCACACCCATCATTCAGGTTGGAGTTCCATGCATAATGTGCTATGTGGAGGAGCAAAATTTGTGGACAGTTACCTTATAATTTTGACCAAAGTTGGAGTGCGCATAAGTGTGATTCAAGGTGATAAAGATCGAGTTGTCCCAATGGAGTGTTGTAGTAAGTTAAAGTTGAAGGCTCCTAATGCTGAAATCAATATCATTCCAAATGCAGACCATGGCACTGTACTATTTGGCAGAGAGAAGGAATTTGCATCTAGTCTAGAGCATATATGGGAATCTTGCTTTTGATTGAAGATAATTTTAGTTTCAGGGCAATTGCCAAGATATGAAATTTTAGTCCTCTGCATTAATAAAGGATAAGGTTAGAAGAATATGGTGGGATGAGTTATAGTAGAAGTTGATTGAGAAATAAAATAGAATGCAATATAAGAGAAACTAATATTTCACTACCACCAACGCTGTTCCAGGTAAAAAACCTTGTTCTTCTTTCTCCCACCCATTTTCACTCTTCCTCTATCTCTCGACACAAAGAAAGTAAAAAAGAACAAAATAATACACGCCACTATTCAAAGAAGCAAACCATAGAGAAATAATGGTTGTTCCGCGAGCTGACGAAGAAACAACATAAACGAAACTAAAACCCTTGGTTTTCCCCCCTTATTTATTCATGTACTTTTAAACCTATCACAATTTTCATTTTATTATTTTAATGACTGTGATTTTTATTTTATTATTTTCATGATTGTGTTTTTTATTTTATCAAATAACAATAATAATCTAGATTTGATTCTCTTACTTTCTTGGCCATGGTGATCAATTTATTATTATCTTATATATCTCTCTTAATTATTATTTTTTTCTCTCTTTTATTTTTTAGACCACCTTCTTCTTTTAAAGATTTTTTTAATATTTTTCTTATGGTGATCACTTTATTATTTTTATTATATTTTTCCATTATTTTTTCGTGACCTTGAGTATGATAGATGACAATGTAACTTTAATAAGGTTTTGAGTTAAATGTATCGTGATTATATGTAAAATGTTAAATATCATTTTTATTATTATTTATTTCATTCCTCCTCTTTCAACTATATTTGTGTGTCATTATATATGATTTTTGTTTTCTTTTCCTACTTCATTTATTCATTGTATTAGTGTTTATTTTAGTAAAATCTTATAATAGAAGACATGTTGGTACCGTGTATCTTTTTTTTGTTTTATAGGTAGTGGTTTAGGTTAACCTTTTCATATATTACATTAGTATTTTTTTCATATACTTATGAGTGAAATCTTATACTTGAGTCTAAGTGTAACTCAATGAGTGATAGACAATTAGTGATGTCGTTTTATACTTTTAATTTTGTTAACATGAAAGTCTTAATTAGAGCATATCTTTTTCTCAAATATCTACATCTTGGATAAACTTCTAATTATAGTCATAGACCAAGATAGTATTGAATTCTAGAATTCAAGTGAACTTTATATATTTGACTACTTATTGGTAAGAATCATCGATTAGAAAAGCAATTAGACATATAGGGCAAATATCATTCACTCTTAAGACACTATGGGACATACTTATTCATCTTTACCACTTTTTCTTGTTATCTTTTTTAGTTTATTATTTTACGCCATGCTGGACAAAAAATAAATATTTTTCTTATCCCTAATTAGTGTATCATATCATATTTGCATGCATCATTTTTGTTTTACTTGTTCATTATTAATATACTTTTGCATTAAATAAGTTTTTTGGAGAATTGTGAAAATTAAAGTATGATTCAAAATATATTGAAAAACAACACATGAGATCAAATTGTGAGACAAAATGGACCGTTTTTGTGAAAGTTAAAATGTCTTATACTCAATTCCTACAACCCTTTAGTAGTTTGGTAAAAGGAGTTAAGTGTATAGCCTTTATGAAAAAAATATGGGAATATCTTAGATTTATTAGATCTAAATGTGCAAGTTGAGGTCATCTTGTCAGTGACACAATTTTATGATCATCCCTTAAAGTTTTTTACATTTTATGACTTCACACCCACATTGTAGGAATATGAGTGAATCTTAGGATTTTCATTAAAAGATAACAAACCTTATGACTAATAAAGACATTATCCTTTTATGAAGAGAATGACATAGTTGTTAAGGGTTTAAAAGAGAGATTTATGAAGGAGGAAATTAAATAGAAATAGCATAAATGTGCTTCCATGAAGTTATTATATAGAAAGGATGAAAGTCTTGTCTAAAGAGAATGATTGGACTAGTTTTAGAAAGTTCTAACACTCATTATTTATAAATTTGTTCTCTTTTCCATATGATAACATAAACTTTTAGGCTATATATAGATGTGTTTTCTACTCTTCAAAATAGAGGAGATAACATAATGCCGACTGTTCTAGCAAATACATATTGCATTCTTAATTTTTGTTATAAAAAGGACAAAAAGAATTTAGTTTATTGTTTATCACTACTCAATATGTGGCTCACCATTTATGTATATTCCAAAAATATAATTCGTCATCCACTATTGCAAATATCAAATAAAATTGTGTGAAAGTTAAAACAAGTAAGGAATAAGTGCAATTTTAGTAGATCTCATTGAGAAGTCAATTCATTGGTACCTAAACTATAATAAAGTAGAACAAATCGTTTATCCGTGTAAGAGTTTAATGTATCACTTATGAGGACTAAAGGGTACATCAATTATAACCCATCATTGGTTTTAAGACAATTACGTTATCCAATGTTGAAACCCTGATAAAGGAACTAATTACATATTTTGTTTATGAAATGAATCAACTAAGTATATAAATGCTTAGAAGAGTGAAATATGCTTAAGAAAAGATTGTCAGTAAAGGAAAAGAATTAGGAAAAAGAAGTTGTGATTCTAGCGAGAGTTATTGTCTTTAAATTAAAGAGAGAAAATAAAAATATTAGAAAAAGAATTAAAAGAGTTTCATCACTCGTTGAAGGTAGCACAAAATAAAAATTTACATAGAAAAAGATCATTAGAAGAGGAAAATGATAAAGTCAGAGTTAAAGAATTTCAAAACTCTAAATTGTTTTGGAGCAACAAACAAGGAATTAAGCTTAAGAAGAAAAAAAAGGACTAAAGCATTTGAGCAAGCAACTAAAAGAAAAATTGAGAGATGCCAAGATTGTTGAAAGAAAAACAAGGAAATTACTTGAAGATCGACTTGAGAAATAATTAGAAAAAGTGGTGATGAAATATGAAAATCTATATTGAAAGATGAAACTAGAAAAAGACAAAACATGTAATAATAGTTCATGAGGATGAATGAAGAGAGGAAAGACAAAAGACATAGGAATTGATTGTATGTATCATAGGATAGATGACAAATTTTTTATTATGGAAAAATATACTTATAAAGTCAACAAACAAAAGTCATATAAAAAAGCTAGAGGATAATAACATATTCTAGAAAGATAATTATTTAAAATTAACATGAATAATCAATCAAACAATCATAGAGATCTTAATAAATCTCAGGAAAGTTGATGGAGTGACAAACCCACTTTTTACTCTTGTTGAAATTTTAAACTTTCCGAATTGTTGTAAAGAGTTAATGAAAAATTGAAAAGTGTGGTTGTAGTTAATGATGTGAAAGGTTGAATACAATGTATTTCTCAATGAATATTAATAAAATTATCTTGCCTACTTTTTATTATAAATCATGGATTCAATTTAAGGTACTTGAGATCAAACTAAAATTTAATTATTCTCTAATAATATTATTACTAAAATAAATAGTAAATATAAAAAAAACTACATTACAACATTTTCATTCTATGCAATATTCATGTCATTCTTTTTTTATAAAAAAAAATAATTAGTCAAGTGAAGAAAACATTTTTATGAGACATGTGTTAAACTAAAGATCATGGAAGGGGTTGTAAATAACTTATAACAACATAATGAAGAACTCAAAGAAGAGGTTAATCGAGATGAAGGAATATATAAATCAAATATTGACTAATAGATATTCTTTGAAAATACCTCAAAACACTCATTATCACCCTCTGAGATTATTCCACTAACTCAAGCCAATATCATTGTTCCATCCCCTCCTTATGTCCTCCCACCTAGCTATACACCACCTTTGGTCGACCACTTCCACTTTGAATCCAAGGAGGAAAAAAATAATAAAGAACTCGATGACAAAAGAAAAAAAAGTCATGGAGAGACGTTGAAAAAGGTAAAAAGTCTACTAATGATTAAGTTTACAAGGGAAAAGAGGATTCAAACAAAATGTTAAATGATGAAGCCACCAAATTTCTCAAATTCATTTAACAAAATGATATGAAGAGCAAAAAATTTAGAAAATTTTCATTTGTTTCCATTCCAATGTAATTCAATACTCATCATACATCATCGTTTCAACTATTGAGTTTATATTGATCTCCATAAATTGAAGGTAATTTTTTAATAAAATTCTAAAATTATCACAATTATAGTTCACACATTTTCAATTTTTAAAACAACTTTCAACCATGTAATGTCAATAACATATAATAACATCAATTGTACCAATTAATTCATACACTAAAAATACAAAAATTAAATAAAGAAAATTCATCTAGAATAATTTCCATAAATAAAAAATCATTTTGCTCAACCAATTAAAAAAAATTAAATATACTCTATCTTGACGAAATTTAAAAAATCATTATCACATTTGAGATAAAAATATTAATTGGTTGAACAAAATTAACCGACAAAATTATTCTTAAAATTTAATCTAACCATTACATCATAATTAATAATAAAATAAGTAATATTTAAATATAATATTTAACAACTATAAATTTATAAGGTTGTATATCTTAAAATCTAATATATTTTTATTATAATTTTTAATTATAAAATTACATAATTTATTTACAAATATAAAAAGTTTAAAATTATGTTTATGACAATAATTATATAAAAAAATAAGAAAAATATTTTTGTATATTACAAATTTTTATTATTTTTTAATAACTTTATAATAATAAATATTAATAATTTAAATTAACTGTGAAAAAAATAATTTAATTTAATTTATTAAATCATTTTTATATTTAGTTTTAAGTTACTTTAAAAAAGAAGAAGACAAATAGGACAAACTGAATCTAACCTAACCATTCACGTTTATCTCTTCTATTTCCTTTTATTCTAATTTAAAATATGCACAAGAATGTGTTTGGTTGGTGGATACAGTACAAATGTAGACTAGGCTAAGTCCAAAACCACGTGCATCGCTAACTTCAATTCTAAACTGGTAGCCAAAGCCACGTGCTACCAGCTCTATAACTCAACTTGTAAGACCTACTTTCAAACAAGTTATTAAACATATGATTTTGCGCAGGTAATTTTGAAAATTATACCATATTATTGATAGATGAATTTAATAAATATAATATATTGTGGAAATTTAATAGTGTATTGTAAAACTAGTTAAATATTATTTTTAAATATGTTTAGTTTTATTATCGAATTATATATTGGAACTAATTAATATTTAAATGATGCAAATAACACAATCGTTGGTACTCATTATTTTTTCCTTCACTACAAATATTTGTGAATGAAATTCACAATGATTAAAAAAATGGAACAGTAATTTTCAATGCAAAAAATAAAATATGTTAAAATTAACATAGGTCAACGTTTTTATTTTATTTATTTTAATCTAGAAAAAAAATGTTCGAAAATGATGTGTGAGGTGTGGCTATCACTTTGCTGATTACATTCCTTTGACAACAGGGCAAGGAGTGATGACATTTTTTTTTTTTTTTTTAATAACTATTCAGAATAATTTTCAATTATTTTTTAATTAATTAAACATGTAAATTATTTATATCGAAAATAAAAATTAAACTTCAATTTAAAAACTAGCAAAGTCATTTGAAGTGAAATGATTGTGATAATACAATAAAGTTTAATTTTCTTGTATTCTAAATATAAAAATTATACATAGTCAATTAATTAAAATTGATTTATATAAATTTTAAAATTATTATTATTATTATTATTATAATTATCAACAAATTAATTTATATGAAAAATTAAAAAAAAAACTATTTTTATATATTTTTAAGAAAAATTAATAAAAATTATTTTTTAAAATTAAAATTAACGTATAAATAAGGTAATTCATAATAACTTGACAAAATAGAAAATAATTTTAACTTATTTATAAATTAATTTTAATTTTAAGAAACTTATTTATAAATAAGTTGATTTTTTTAATATAAATTTTCAAATATACCAATGTAATTAAATGATAATATTATTTTTTTTCTTAATTAGATTTAAATTACGTTTTACAAATATCATAAATCATACACAGTATGATTAGATTTAATTATTTATTTTTTTTGTTTTTTTAGTAGATTATAATTTCTTTGTTGAAATTCATTAGTAATATGAAATTGATTTAGTACCATATTTCTCTACCTAAGTGAAACAGAGGTTGGTAGTTGTTGCACCAAATCCCTCACCAGTCACAAACCAATATTCATTCCTTCAAAACCAAAGACCATCACTCCACTCTCTCACCTACCAACAAGGCAGTACCCTTTCTCATACATATCAGTTCTTCATTTTCCTCCTTCTCTATTACCACTGCATCTTTTTTTTCTCCCTCCACACACCCATTTTCCTGTTCACCCTACCTATCATTCAAATCATGGATTTCTTGCATGCTCCAGAAAATCAGGTACTTCTGGCTGTGGCCGTGGCCGCCGTCGCCGTTGGGCTTGGTGCTGTCTTTCTCTTTTCATCTAAGAAGCGCAAAGGTTTGACCTTTTTCAGCTTCATATTCTTCCCGTTTGGAATTTTATGCTTTCTGTTTGATTTATTCATAAAGGTCTTCTTTGTCTTAGTTCTATGAGTGAGAGAAGATCCAAAATGCATATTTTTTTCCTTTATGAGAATTTGATGTATACGAGGTGGTTTTATTTTTTTTCAAATATGTTCTTTCTACTCTCGTTTAGTTCATGAAACTTAACATTGCTATTGACATGAAGGACAATCCTTTATATGTTAAGGAAGGTCAATATTGTTGGGGGCAAATCCACTTACACTCTCGCAGCCTGTCGGAAGGGATAGAGAATAAGAAGAGAAAAAAAAAAGGACTAACTTTTATTGCTGAATTTTCATTTTATATCGCAGTTAATTCATACCTAACTTTCTGTAGTTAGATTTTACAATCTGAATTATTCCTATTCACAACACACTCACTTAATTCAGATTTCTCCCTGATACGATCCCCAATCCCTTTCTAAGATTATAAAACTTTTCAATCCTCAGTGGTTTGGTTTGATCAGGAGATCTGCCATTTGATCTTCTGTATCTCAATAGACCAAATCTATGTTCCCTTTATTCACTTGGTTTCTCAAGTACTCTATGTGCTTGCTCCTTCCATGTGCCACTGGATTTTTGGCTACGTTAATTTCTGAAATATTGTCAACAGTTAGTGTCATTGGTCCATCCATTTTCAAATGCATATGCTTCAGTAAGGTTTGAAGCCACACAGCTTGGCATGCTCCTGGTGATGCAGTAATGTATTTTGTGTCACATGATGAACGAGCTACAACTGATTGCTTCTTTGAACACCATGAGAAAGACAGTGTTTCATAGCTGAAAAACATAGCCACTTGTACTCCTACTATCCTCTTTGTCTCCGCATCAATCTGAGCCTGTGAAACCAACAATGTTTTCCCTTGAACTTGTTGCTGTTATTAGTGAATAACAAGAGTCCCTTTCACATATCTTAAGATCCTTTCAGCTGGACCCATGTGAGAGACCTTTGGATTCTCCATAAACCTACTAACCAAGCTTGCAGCATATGAAATATCTGGTTTGCTGTTACAAAGATATATCAAGCATCCTACAAGTGTAGGATTCACAGGAATCTTCTTTTGCATCTTTCGCAAGGTGAATTCCACATTCTGCTGGAGTCTTAGCTGGATTACAGTTACGCATATTGAGTCTCTTCAATACATCACATGCATACTTTTTCTGATGAAGAAACAATCCCTTACAGTTATGCAGAAATTCCAAGCCCACAAAATAGGAGTGTTCCCAAAACTATCATCTCAAACTCTTCTTTCATTTTCCTTTTGAATTCTGCAATCTCTTTCTCATTTTCTCTTGTAATCAACAAGTCATCATCATATAGACACACAACCAAAGTTATTGTATCATTTCTCCTATTCTATTACATAGATTCCATATTCATTGGTGCACTCCACAAAGCCTTTTTCAGATAAGAGTAAATCAATCCTCCTATTTCATGCCTCAGTTCTTGTTTCAATCCATAAAGTGCCTTCCACAATTTGTACATACTTGGAAATTAATCCATCTAGATTGGCCTTGATTTTATAGATTCATTTCATAGGTGTAAGTTTTTTTCTTGTGGAGGTATTGGCACCAAATCCCATGTATTGCTCTTCTCAATTGACTTCAATTCCCCCTCCTCTGCAATCACTCATTTGTGGTCTTTAATTGCTTCAAAGTAGATTAGTTTTAGATTGAACATCTGTAGTGAAGGACTAACTGAGTTTATTACTATATTTTCAAAGTAGATTAGCTTTAGATTGAATCTGTATTGAATAAGAGGAAAAAAGAGACTAACTGAATTTAATTACTTTATTTTCAACTTATATCACAGTTAACTCCTAACGAACTTTCTGGTATGAGATTTTACAATCTGAATTATTCATGAATAGTGTGCCTACCTGAACTGCTGGTTGTTGCATGTTTTTCCCTACATTGGCGTTGGCACTTTGTTTTGCTGATTAGTGAGTAGTTCATCATGTTAGTCACGTATCCAGGCTCAACTTTTATGTCAAAAGTATGTCTGATGGGTTTTGAATCTATTCTTTGGTTGTAATCCTTTATCGCATTAGAATATTTTTTGGATATTAATATTTTGGAATCATCAGGAAACATTTCAGCCTTTTACCTGTTATTAGTCAACCTTGCTCTGCCTAGTTGTAGGTTTATTAAATGCTGGTTGATCTTGTTGTGATTCTATACTTTTACCTGTTTCAAAAGTTAAGATTCTGTTTGGTTGGGTTTTATGTTTCCTTTGAGTGTCTTAGGGGTTGTTTAGCAGAATTATATGGTCAGGAGTCAGGACTCCATCACTAATTACATAAATGGGTGACCATGCTTTGTCTCATAGAGTTGGTAGTGGTATTTTCTAGCTCATTTATGAGCTACGTCCAGTGGTAATATCAAAAACAAATTCACTTTCCTCTTCACTGAGTCCATTGTTCTTGGAAAATAGATTTTCTCATTGCATGCAATCTTGTTTACACTAGATGAAAGTGAAAGACCTTGAATGCATCTTTGACTATGATCTAAGTTATACTAAGGCTTGATGGTAGAGATGAAATAATGTAAATTTCAATGCACTTGACCTTCCAAGTTCATTCATGTTAAATTTGGTTATAATATGTACTTAAAAGTGTAAATTCATGTTTTCCACGTACTTATAGGTTGCTTGGACCCCGAGAACTTTAAGCAGTTCAAACTTGTTAAGCGTGCACAGCTGAGCCATAATGTTGCAAAGTTCACATTTGCCCTCCCAACACCTACATCTGTTTTGGGTCTTCCAATTGGGCAACACATAAGTTGCAGGTTCTTTTTTTTTTTTTTTTTTTTTTGTGTGTCTAATTTCCTTGTCACTGTAATTAGTTTAGCATATATTTGTATTTAATTCAGTATCTGCACAATTTGTTCTCTCAGTACTGGCTGAGAATAGCTATCTCAATTGCTTGATTTTATTGACAACTAAAATGTATAGAAGGAACTATTTCCTTTTTCTTTTAGTGTTTTATCAATGTTTATTGACACATTATGAACAAACAACTTCTCAAACAGGGGTAACGATGCACAAGGTGAAGAGGTTGTCAAACCATATACCCCTACAACTCTGGACTCTGATATTGGACATTTTGAACTAGTTATTAAGGTAAATTCAGAATCCATTGACTTCATCCTTATGCTTTTCCTAACTTTGTGCATTGTTTTCCTTTTTCTCTGTTGATTAATTGGTTTTCTGTCTAACTATGTATTTATTAGATGTACCCACAAGGAAGGATGTCCCACCATTTCCGGGAGATGCGTGTTGGTGACTACCTTGCTGTGAAAGGACCCAAGGTAAATGTTTTTTCTACACATTTGTTTACAAAATTATCAGGGTTTCCCGTTTTTCAAAGTTGATGATTTATTCCTGTGTTCAAGGCCCCAGATGATTGTCTGAAACTTCCAGTACTTAATTTTGTATTTGAATTTACTTTAAAAGCTAGTAACAGATCTGCTTTAGTAACCATATGAGGGATTTATTTTGGTATGAAATATTTTTCTTTTTATTTCCTGTTTTCACTAAACAAGAGCCTTTTCCCTCTAGGTAAGGTCAATTACAAGGATCACATGACATCATTCCGATTTGTTAGAGACCAAAATATTCAGAGATATTATTTACCATGATACCCCTCTTAACAACTTCCTCCAAAAGTGTTTTCACTAATACGTAATAATTAAAACAAAGGATACCTTATTTCCTGTTTTCAAAGATTTAATCTTTTCAAAGATTTAATCTCTCTTTTCTGTACATATATTTGAAAATAGGAAACAAAATGAAAACTAGGTGATATTTTTGTAATTATTGTGGAAAATAGGAAATGAATACAGAAAACATCTTGTCAAGCCAAACAGTTTCTTATTTTGATACATTTTGTATTACATTGTGTTCAAATATAATAAAATAAATAAAAGTTGTGGAAAATAATTTATTAAAATAAAAATATTTTAGCATTATTTAAATTTTCCGTACTGTAAATTTATGATGTCAATATTATATGTGCATATAAAATAGAAATAATTTGGAAAACTTGTTTTCTTTATATTAGGTAATTTGTATGTGTATAGTCTTTGAAATTTTTTTAAAAATATTAGAATATCACTACCCCAATTATTTGGATTGTAATTGTAAACATGCAATGAATACTGATAGTGACATACATGATTTTGGCAGTCGTATATTTCTTAGATCCAAATGATTTTGTAGGCTCTGCATAAATAATCATATCCAGTTGGCCTATCTTCCCTTTAATTACCAATGAACTCTTTATTTTTGTCATTTTTCCTTTGTGTAATGCAGTTTCATTTTCCTCTTGCTAATTGATTGGTTACTCAGTTTTATGCATTTCATATTCATTATGTCTGCTACTAAATGAAAGACTTGTTATTGAGATAGTTGGACTTTAACACTATTGCTTCCAGGGACGTTTCAAGTACCAACCTGGGGAGGTTAGGGCATTTGGAATGCTTGCTGGAGGGTCTGGAATCACTCCAATGTTCCAAGTATATCATTACCACTGTTCTTTTCTCCATCATTAAGAGGAAATTCCTTTCATGCAATTCTGTATTACTAATATGTTTGCTTGTTGCTGAAGGTTGCTAGAGCTATATTAGAAAACCCTAATGACAGGACCAAAGTACATCTTGTCTATGCCAATGTTACATATGAGGACATTCTTTTGAAGGTAATTAACATTTATATTTTCACTTTTTGTATGATATTATTCACTTAATTTGAGAATCTGTGACCCGGACTTTTTGATTCCGATGAATCCATTGCTTCTTGGCAGCTATAATAAGTTCTAGGACATTTTGTTCATCGTTTAGCATTCTGAGTGAATGAAAATGTATTAAGATGCAATTTTTGTTCATTAAATGACAAACACCAGTTTGTTTACACCCATGAGGATCTTTTTGCGTCACCTTATAGTGAATTGAACTTTACATTTGACAATCTTTTTGTGACACTAGAATTAATGCTGCTGCTTGACAGTATGTGATAGCTGTCCCAAAATCCCGATCCAGGTCAATTTGGTTTAGTTTGAAGTTGTTCTTGCTTGGGAGTCATGAATGCATCTCTAAATTTTTGGGGATAAATGCATGTGATCTATCTACTCTAAAGAAGTTTGCATGTCTCTACCTCCTTCATACTTATCTGTGGGAGAGTGTACAAACAAACTGTTTTAGCAACCTTTATGTGGCCACAAGATAAATATTAGAGCATGTTTGACATGAGAGATCGTTTCTATTTTCACTTCAGTTTTCACTTTAATTACAAAAATTTCTTATTCTTTTCTATTTGCAAAGATTTTAATAGGAAACAGTGAAGACAAACTTTTATTGTGGACACTGTTTTCTACATAGAACTTTGAAAAAATAAAACAAAATAAAAACAAGGTAACATTTTCACGGTTAAAAGTGAAAATATGTAATGAAATAAGACAACATTTTCTTGAAGTAAACAGACCGTTATTGTTCCATTCATTTTTGGCCCTTGGCCCACAGGAGCAAACATTACTTCAAGGAAGGAGCTTTTAAGTGTATATAAATCTATTTTTAAAAAATTTATAGTGTAAAAGAATTGAAAAACTGCTTTCTGCACAGGCAATATTTACTTTCCTCAGCTGTTATTTCCTTTTATCAATGCTATCATAGAACAAGTTTGTGCTACAATTCCTCTCACTGGCTAATCCCTTGACATTGAAACTTGTCATTAATGAAAGTCTACGTATTTGTATGTACAGGAAGAACTTGATGGTCTTGCTTCTAACTATCCAGATCGATTCAAAGTATACTACGTGCTAAATCAGGTTAGTTCCCATGGCATGTGGAACTATAATTTTCTTATCTATTGCATTTGTTGCTTTTGCTTTGTTTGTTGATGGACCATGCAAAATCTTGGTCTTGATAGCATCATATACCATAGTGCCAACAAGTTTAGAAAAATGCAGGTTATTCAATATTTTGTTTATACATTCATGTGGAAAGTTTACAATCATTAGCAAGGACAAAACTTCATTGGACTTGTAGAAGAAATTAGTGGACCTTGTCCACGATCTTTCTCTCCTTTTCTTCATGCATAACCCTAAACCTACAAATCTTAATGGTTATGACTAATGGTCATTTGTTTTGATCTTATGCCCTTGAATTATATAATCTACGTAGCCTCCGGAGGTGTGGGATGGTGGTGTTGGATTTGTGTCTAAGGAGATGATTCAAGCCCATTGCCCTGCTCCAGCACATGATATTAAGGTAATTGTTTCATTATTTCACTTGTTACTCCAAAATGGTACTATCATGTTTTCTTTTGCTAATCATCGCGTGATAGAAAGATAAAATGATTAAACATGTTTCTTGCGGATTTTCAGATCTTGAGATGTGGCCCTCCACCTATGAACAAGGCCATGGCTGCACACCTTGAAGCCCTTGAATATTCTCCTGAGATGCAGTTCCAGTTCTGATTCTTCATTGGGATGCTTAACATTGCATGCATTTTGATGGCCTTGGCCATTGAAAAACATAGAGCAACATTTTGTTTGATTTTTCCTGGCTATGAATATATGAAGCATTGAACCAACAATGCATTTAGACAAGGATCTTCAGAGTTGAAGCCTGAAATAATTGTTTCTTGTATGAAATGAGATTGATACGTTGACCCCGTTCTAGAGTTGCAATCTATGAATTAGACTTGTTAGTTTGACTAAAATTTTCATCACTTTTGCCATATTTTTCAAACAGATGCAAAGGCAAGTTAAAATCAATCTTCAATTTTAAAGTAGAAGGTAATAATACTTCATCCGAATGGATAAAAAATAATGCTTGTTTGTATTATTAATTTTTCATAGCCATAATTTGTTTTTAAGTTTGTATGTAAGTAAAATATTTCATTTAAAGAAAATGTAATAATTGGTTGGAGTGGTGTGGTTACTTATGTGTCTATTAGAGGAGAACAAAACCAAATAGATTAAAAAAATTGAATATTGAAAATAGAAATTGAAAGTTGAAGGTTTGGTTTAGATTTCAGATTCAAAATAAAAAATTAAACAATACATTAACTATTATTTTATTTAATATAACATTAAATATCTAAAGTTAACTAGTATGTAATATATATGAATGTTTTTTAAAAGTTATTTTATGGATTAAATATATTTTATTTACAACATATTTATATTTATTAAAATATGATAATAAACTTGTATAATCAATTTTAATTATAAGATTATATTATAATTTATGAATATGAAAAAGGTTGAAACTATGAACATAATAATAAATATAACAAAAAATGATTATTTTTTCTTTTTATTTTCAATTTTTTTTATTAAAAGATGCTCAATAATATTTTTGTAAAAAAGTTATTTTATAATTTTATTATAAAAATATTTACTTATATAACAATAAAAATCACAACAATTAATTTAACTCAAATTCATAAATAAGTTTGATTTGATTCAATTTTTATATTATATTAAAATTGAATTAAATCAAATCATATTTGATTTTTATATTTAGTTTAAATACATATTTAATTAAAATATAAATTAAAGGAATCACGAACATATCTAGTGTAGTACACGCACTGTTAATAATAAAATTATTTATAGTAAATTTTATCATGAGTTGAATGTAATTTTTTCTTTAATGCTAGTGGTAACTTTCTAGGAGATTGAGATAATGTTCTTCATTTAATTATTTACGATAACATCCAACAATTAATACTATTCATATCAGTGGAATTAATATTTTTCTTATTTTACTTATTATTTTAAAAATGTAGAAAACCTTTTTCAAAGCAACAAAGGTGTCGTGGTGTAGTTGGTTATCACGTCAGTCTAACACACTGAAGGTCTCCGGTTCGAGTCCGGGCGACGCCAATACTGTGTCTTTTAAATTTATAAATAAATGAAATTTTTTAACTTAATATATTTTATACTTTTGTAAGACACTATTTTATTTATATTTATTTTTAGTTCCTGTAAAATAATTATAGTTTAAAACTATGTAATAGTTTCAAAATAATTTTTATAAGAATAACCAATGGACTAAAAACAAAATGTTGAAACTAATAAACAAAGAAAAGAACATTTTACAAAAATTAACTCAAAAACATAACTTTTATTTTAAATTAGTGGTATGCCAGAATACAAGTCCTTCATATGAGATGAACATGAATTTTCAACATTTTAATAAATTTAAAATATAAAAAATAAATAAATTGGTTCATATGAACATGAACTTCAACATTTAATAAATTTAAAATATCCCCAAAAATAAATAATAAGCTGGCGTCGCCCGGACTTGAACCGAAGACCATCAGTGTGTTAGACTGACGTGATAACCAACTACACCACGACACCTTTTTTTGTTTAATTTAAAACAAATTATAAGATTTTTTTGTCATGTTAATAATATAGAGTTGAAGTCGAGCACTGGCATACAGTACTTAATTATTTATTACATAAGACATTTTTGCTATTATGAATGAGTGGTGTTTTCTGTATTATTAATTTTTCGTATTAATATATTTTTTAATTTGGTAAAAAATCATATTAATTCAAAAATTTGTAGACTTATTTAAGAGGCACAATCCGCTACCAGTTATAAGTTTGATAAATTTTAAAATCATATTAAAAAAATTGATTATTTTAATTGTTGGTTTTTTGACATTGATCCGAAGGTGGTTATAAGTCTATACATTTTAGTTTTCAATTGCATACTTTAAAATAAAACATGTTGGATTAAAATAGAGCTGAACTAATTTTTATTTTAATTTGAAAATATCTTTAATTCAAATAGCTTTTAAAACTAATTTGGTTTTACTTACAATAATTTAATTCAAATAGAGCTGACTGAACTAATTTTTATTTTAATCTTGAATCGGTAACATGTTTTTATAGAGTGGTCTAGATTTCAGAGTTCAATTTTAATTTTCTATTAAATTATAAAACTGAAAATTTAATTTAATTTAATTTTTAAACAACACCAACTTATTTTTATGTTTGAAAACTCTTAATTTGAAATCATAACTAATTTGGAGGGATGAATGGAACATCCCTTAGTCACGTCTTGAAACTCAAGTCTTGTCATTAAAAGTACCTTAAAAATGTCCATTTTGTGAAAAACGAAAAAAAATAAATAAATTATTTTTTAGTGTATAAATAAACCTGAATGCCTCAAATTTAATATACGTCTTTGAGTTTTTCATAATTTTTAGGTAGAATGATGCAAAGTGTTATTTCTTTCAGATTGGTTCATTTGAACCCAAAAACGTGGAGACCCTTTAGCTGAGTAGAACGCTTCCACAGTTAGACCCTATTTCCACGCTCTTATAACATATCACTCGCACACAACAAAGAGAAACTCTTCTTCTTCCGTCACCAGCAACAACCATTCATGGACCCTTATGTTTTTTCCATGTGATTGTGACTGTTTCAAACATCAAACTTCACGTTGGTTACAACTGTGATTGCTTGGAATGCTGTTGTTACAATGGTTGAGAGAACCGTGCCTGGCTCCGCCATCAAGGTTGTTTCTAAGAACTCCTTGTGTTTTTTCTTTGCAATGACAACGTTGTTGTTCATGTTGTCGTGGTTGTTCGTTCTGCGTTCCACGCGCTCCGATGCTACGTCTAACTCCTCCCTTTTCTCTTACTTCAACGACTCATATTCTGATCCAGTGCAGAAAATAAATGTAGGAGAAGAAGTAGAACCCTCGTTTGGTAATAGAGCAATACTCGGGGACAATGTAGATGCAAGAGCAACAACAGAAACAAAAATAACAGATTATAAGATACAACAACAAAAACTACAACGACATGTGCCTGAAGAACAAGGTGTGAAATGCAAAGAACGTGACAGTACTGTGCTGAGAGTTTTCATGTATGACTTGCCTCCTGAGTTCCATTTTGGACTATTGGATTGGGAACCTCAAGAGAATGCTAACAGTGTTTGGCCTGATATTAAAGCTATATCACCCCATTACCCTGGGGGGTTGAATTTGCAGCATAGCATAGAGTATTGGCTTACCATGGATCTTCTTGCTTCAGAATTACCTGAAGCTGAAGCACCATCTAAAGCTAAGAGTGTGATGAGAGTTAGAAACTCTAGTGAAGCTGATGTAATATTTGTGCCATTCTTTTCTTCTCTTTGTTATAATCGGTTTTCTAAAATTGGCCCACATGAGAAGAGGAGCAAGAATAAGGTGCTGCAGGAAAAGTTGGTGAAATATGTGACAGCACAAGAGGAATGGAAGAGGTCGGGGGGGAAGGACCATGTGATCTTGGCTCACCATCCAAATAGTATGTTAGATGCAAGATTGAAGTTGTGGCCAGGAGCTTTCATACTCTCAGATTTTGGGAGGTATCCTCCCAACATAGCCAATGTTGAGAAAGATGTGATTGCACCTTACAAACACGTGGTTGGATCCTACGATAATGATCAGTCCAGCTTTGATAGCCGTCCAATATTGTTGTTCTTCCAAGGAGCTATATACAGAAAAGATGTATGTCTGTGTCACTCTCTGATGTCTTGGTTTTTTAGTTTGTTGAATCTTTCCTTTCTATATCTTTACATCATACTTTTAGTTCCGCGCACCAAGATGGAGCTCTTCATTTTTGGTTTGATCAATAGCAATATCCAGTACAACTAATTCTTTGTTTGAAAAAAACTGTGTTTTAATTGGTCATATTTGTTATATAAATTGTACACAACTATTAGATGTAGGCATTTCAAGGGGAAAACATTACGAGGCTGCAATTGTGTTTTTTTGATAAAACTATAAATTTAAAGTTTGTCTCGTAAACCACCTTCATCCTCTGCATGTGGGATTTTACTCCAAAATGAAGTAGAAAATGTTGTTACCTACATTGTTTCCTGATGTTATATGGAATAAATATTGTTAGTCTGCTAATGTTTAATCTTCAGGGATTTCTGTTCTAAAATTCTCCTCAAATTGCTTCACATAAGAAGGTCTAAAATATTCTTTACTTATTTTTATTTTCTGTAAATAAAAGTAATATCTCATAACTGCAGATGAAATGGAGTGAGATCATTTTGCTTATGCTGGGGAACATAGGTTCTCTTTTCAGACCCATAAATTGTTGTGTCATCATATTCCAAGTAATGTTTACTTGGTGAATGATAAGCCACATTCAGAGAGGAAAGATGGAGGAAAATGAAGAAAGAATTATTTCTGTATATTGACCAACAACGAGGATATAGCTTAGATGTGACCAACTTATAGAAAAGCCTATGTAAGAATAACTAACACAATTCCCTAAGAGACTTAACTAACTTTTCCCTTAACATCCTTGTAAAATTCAAGATGTTAGACGTTGACAATCTTGAGTTTGTGTATGAGAGCTTGGAAGTGACAACATTGCATCCTTCGAACCTTGTCCTATACAAAATGAAAATTCAATTCAAAATGTTTTTTATTTATTTATTCTCTGGAGTGCATAGAACAACACTAAGTTATCACAATAGATCAGAGGCATGGACGAAACTATTCTTAATTTGTTGAGCAGAGACTAAGTACAAGCTATTTCAGCAGTCACAACTTGCTTCTTTGCTACTTCGTGACACTACTTTTTGTTTCCTTAAATAATAGGAAATGATGTTGGACTCAAGATAGATATAATAGCTAGAGGTAGACTTGTGATCATCCAGTCAAAACTCCAATCAGAGTTGGAGAAGCCAATAAGATTGAAGTTATTGCACTGGTTGATGGTCAAACCAAGATGAGAAGTACTTTGCACGTATCGAAGGATTTTCTTGTGGTTGCTCAGATATTGACATACCTTTTTACTTTAAAAGGCAAGTCCGACCGAATGATAGTAATGTATTACAGGGTGCCTGCAATAGACCTGTAATGGGATGGATCAACAACAAAGTAGGAACCATGTTTTGTCAATTTTGAAGTTGTGACCATATGTGTTGGTTGGGTTTGGATTCAGTCATATTGCAAAGACAAAACTGATATATTTGTAGAAGACAATTTGAAACAACTTTATAAATATTTTCAGTGTGGTGGTCTAGTCAAAGTTTGGTTTCATTTTGATTAACCCTTGTTTGTTCTCATACTCACTCAGGGAGGTCATGTTCGGCATGAGCTATACTATCTTCTGAAAAACGAAAAAGATGTGCATTTTTCATTTGGGAGTGCTCAAAAGGGTGGAGTAAAGAAAGCAACTGAAGGCATGCGTTCTTCCAAGTTTTGCCTCAACATAGCCGGAGACACCCCTTCATCAAACCGCTTGTTTGATGCCATAGCCAGTCACTGTGTGCCTGTGATCATCAGCGACGAAATCGAGCTGCCATACGAGGATGTCCTTGACTACTCTCAGTTCTGCATATTTGTGCGCACCAGAGATGCCCTCAAAAAGAGGTATCTGGTAGACTTCATTAGGAGCATAGGGGCAGAAGAGTGGACCAGGATGTGGAACAGGTTGAAAGAGGTTGAGAGTTTCTATGAATTTCAGTTCCCTTCCAAGGAGGGTGATGCTGTCCACATGATTTGGCAGGCTGTGAAACGCAAGGTTCCTTTCATGAAGTTGAAAACTAACAGATCTAGAAGGTTTTTCAGGTCCCTTAATGGGAAGGAGCTCAGATCAATACCTGCACCAGCTAAATTTTGGTGATTGAAATATAAATATATGCATGCTTGGTTGTTTGGAATTGTGCACTTGGCAAATGACTTTAGCTTTGGCCTTTAGAAACGTTAGAACATGAACACCCCCATATATATATATATACACACACACAGTATGTAGTGATGATTTTGATGTTGACATTGTAATGTAACGTTCTTACTTACCTTGTTCATAGGAAAGAGGATTTAGGCCATTTGATTACACTTGGGGATGTACAATGAAAGTGTCTTTTTGTTCTTGATTTCTGCTTTGGGAATTTAGAGACTATATATACGGTTTTTAGCTTTCAGATGTCACACTAACTACTGTAATTGTGTTTTACTCCAGAATGAAGATGAACATTTAGCATTTTGTTCTATGCATGAAATTATTGAACAATCCAAAGCGTGAAAGATTCTTTTAAAAGGTGATGTGAGAATCTTTGATCAAAACATTGTTAATAAAATCAAAGTCTAAAATATTACTAGTGGAACGTATAATATTGTTTGGGATGATAACGTTAACTTTATTTAAAGTTTGTAGTAAAATATAAATGAACACTTCTTTGATTCAGAAATTGTATCAAACTTTCTTGCGAGTGCTTTCTTTATTTAATTTTTTTCATAATTTAATTCAGTAAATAATCATTAAGTATTATTCGATGTTAAATATAATTAAGTATTATTAAGTAAATACATTAATATGATATTTATGTATATCAGAAAAAATACATGTACCTTTTGAATAATAATAATAAGTGTCAATATACCAAAATAAGATATTAATATACTTAACTGGCTGCAAATAATTTTACATATAATTTTGACGTAAATCATGATTTAATAATGTATTTTTTTTTATATTATTGGTATATTTTAATTCTAAAAATAAAATGAAAGGTGTAGCTTTAAGACTTTTTTTTCTTAAATAATACTATTTTAAAAAATATTTTCTAAAATAGCACATCTCGAAATATTATTTACCCAATTAGTATTGTTCATCGTTCAGGTATTCTCGCTCAAGCGAGAAATGCATCGTTTGAGCGAGGAGACCTGGAACTTAAGGGTTTTGTGGGGTTTAGGTTCGCTCAAACGATAAAATTCTCGCTCAAGTGAGAAACCCTTCGCTTGAGTGAGGAGACCTGAAACTAATGAATAATCTCAGATGTTTTTTTGCTCAAGCGAAGAGTAATTTCGTTCGAGCGAGAACTTATTGAAATATGTGGTAACAATCTTTGTAGAGTGGGAGAAGATAAAGAAGATATCTTAAACAATTTAATTGTGCTTTAAATTAGTGGCTGCCAAATTACCCATATTTTGTATGTCAAATCACTCCTCACTCGAGCAAAATTACCTATCTTTACATTATAGTTATCCAACGCAGTTAGCCAATAACTTCTCGCTCGAGCAAAATTATCCATAGCTTGAGCGAGAATTGACCCGATATTATCCATTAGTTTCAGATCTCCTCGCTCAAGCGATGAATTTCTTGCTTGAGCGAAAGAGAAATAATCGATCATAATTTTAAATATTCGATTATTTTAAAATTATGATCGATTAGTTTAAATTATAATCGATTATAAATTTCCTTGCTCAAGCGATGGATTTCTCGCTTGAGCGAGAATTGACCACAGGTGTTAAGTTAATCAATCACTTCTCGCTCGAGCGAAATTACCCATCGCTTGAGCGAGAATTGACCACATGCTAAAGGTTCAACGCAGTTAGCCATATAATGCAACTTGAGTCACCACATATTTCAATCAGGTCTTGTTCGAGCGAAATTACCCATCGCTTGAGCGAAAAAATACCCGAGATTACCCATTAGTTTTAGGTCTCCACGCTTAAGCGATGAATTTCTCGCTTAAGCGAGAAAACTTCTAGCTCGAACGAGAATTTTATCGCTTGAGCGAACTTAAACCCCAAAAAATTCTTAAGTTTCAGGTCTCCTCGCTCAAGCGATGCTAATACTAGTTAGATAATTAATACGTCAGATGTGCTATTTTGAAAAACATTTTTTAAAATAGTATTATTTATGAAAAAAATTCGTAACTTTAAAGTAATCAAAATCAAAATACAATTTGTTATTATTTTAATAGAAATGATAGTAATTATTAGTATTCATTTTTTAATATATATATATATATATATATATATATATATATATATATTATGCAAATATATAATACTCATTCATTTTATTGTGAGATTATATTAATAAATAATAAAATGAGTTCGGATTTGTATATTTAATTTAATATTTTAGTTTTAGAGATTAATTTTGAAAAAATTATTATTAAAAATAAGTTATAAATTTGATAAATTTAATTTGAAAATTGATAAAAAAAATAGATATTAAAAAATAATTTTGATAACTTAATAATAATGAAAAAAAAATCATAGGATAACTATTAGTGAAAGTGTAATTATTAAAAAAATAAAAATAAAAATAATTTAAAAATACTATTTTAAGAAAATAGTTTTCAAACAAAAATTTTATAATTTTTAAAAATTAAAAAAGTAAAAGTTATTTTTAAAAACAATATTGATAAAATAGTTAAATTTGTTTTATTACAGCGTAACAGGTGATTCTTTTAGCAATTAGGAAATGAATCCAAAAGAGTTCAACGTTGCACCCGTGCCAATAGATGATGGAAGAATAAATTGCAAAACCCATCTTAAATCTTGAAGTGAGTGACTCTCAAGAATGAAAATGGCGCTATCTTCTTCATCACCGTGTTGGTGTTCTTCCCCTACTCCGCTTCTTCCCTTCACCCAACGGCACCGTTTTGTTACTCTCAAACCCTATACTCGTTCCCAACCTCACCACACCCTCGCCGCCGCGGACACCAGACCATCTACTCCGTTAGTGCACTCCACCAGACAAGGGTTTGATACCGTCAACATTGCCGAAGATGTCACTCAGGTGTTTTCCTACTTCTCTTCGCAATTTTCTACACATTTTTATTGCTGCTGCAACATTTTAATTAACCTTTCAGCTAATAACTTTATGTTCCTGCAATATCTTCTGCTTTTAGTTTTGAATGATTTCGCGAATTTGTGCAGTTGATTGGAAATACGCCAATGGTATTCCTGAATAAAGTTACGGAGGGTTGTGTGGCTAACATTGCTGCCAAACTTGAGTCTATGCAACCTTGCCGCAGTGTCAAGGACAGGTAGTAGGTTATAAATATATGTATATATTTGCTGCTGCTCCATTGACTTAAATTTCAAATTTATTAGGACTTGCTAAATTATCAATGACACTAAGGAGTCGGATTTATATTATTTATAGATGACATCCTTGGATAAACTTGTCCACACATTTTTCTAGGAGAGAAAAATAAGAAGAAAATGAAATGGCATTTTTCTTTTAAAATTATCTTATTTATAAGTTTTGTAAAGTTGTCTTATTTATTAGTTAATTTGTAGAAGCTCTCTCACATAATTTTTCTAAATTCTTATTTTTAACTTGTATATAAGCTAATTTACCTTAAGAGAAACTTATTTCATTATTTTTTTATTTTTATTTTTCTCTGCTAGAAATAATTCATTTTATCAGAGGTTTAGTTTTACACGTGCCATGATTTTCACTTTGTGATTTTTTTTTTGTATATATTATGTATTAATTTCCTCTTATTATTAAAAATCTCAGAATTGGCTATAGTATGTTATCCGATGCTGAAGAGATTGGAGCAATTTCTCCGGGGAAGGTACTTGATGAATATTTTTGTGTATACATCAATTTAATCTTTATAGTGTTTATAAATACTGTATTGTGATATTATAGTTTGTTCAAAGCCAAGGTGTTGAATATTGAATTTTCTTTACATTCCTAATCATGTATTGTTGCAGACCGTTTTGGTTGAACCAACCACGGGAAATACAGGACTTGGCATTGCTTTTGTTGCAGCAACAAAGGGGTACAAACTTATAGTCACAATGCCTGCTTCTGTTAATGTTGAGAGGAGAATCCTTTTACGTGCTTTTGGTGCAGAGGTTATTTTGACTGATGCTGAGAAGGGGCTGAAAGGGGCAGTTGACAAAGCTGAAGAAATTGTTCGCAGCACACCCAACTCTTACATGTTTCGACAGTTTGATAATATGAGTAATACTAAGGTTAAATGTTAATGCATCTCCTATACGACCTTCAACTCATTCATCACTGTGTTTTGAAATATTTATTGCATCAATGAAAATAGAAATTACATATAAATAAGTTAAATGTTATTAAGATTTATATGCGCAAATTACAGATCCACTTCGAAACTACAGGGCCAGAGATATGGGAGGATACCGTGGGTAATGTTGATGTATTAGTTGCTGGGATTGGAACTGGTGGCACCGTTACTGGCACTGGACGTTATCTGAAAATGATGAACAAAAATATAGAGGTTTGATTATTCATTTTATATGCATTTAGTTGTTATTTCAATTTGAATAATATATACATTTTGGTCCTGTCTAACTTCTATCAAGTATATCATTTCCTGAATTCAAATCCCATAATCTTCACTTCTTTCGTATTAAAAGAAATTTGATGTAGTTATTGAATCAATTAGCTTGCACTTTATATTTCTCATACACCAAACCTCTAGGAACTTGGTTTGTATTTCTAAGCTGGCAGAGAGAGGGAGAGGGACGTAGAATGAATAAGAAAGGAAAAAGGATCCAGAAGGAACATACAAAATATTAGTTTGACCATTCTAACATACATTTGATTAAACCATAAATTGTAGGCAACAGTTTCCAGAATGACTTAAATTTTTTCGTTTGTTTGACATGCCTGAGTGTATTAGGCTTATGATAGATAATTATTGGCGTATGCTTCTTACATGTTAAGTGCAAGTAATGCTTTATGTATTCTATTTTGTTTAACCTAGTGTATATTATGTCTTATATAGGTCGTTGGGGTGGAACCTGCAGACAGAAGTGTTATTTCGGGTGACAGTCCTGGTATGAATATTTTACAATGTTTATGAATTGTGTTATCCCCTCTTCAGGTCATTAGTTTCTAGGCCAATATTCACTTAAACATATTTTCTTGTTAGCTGCTGACTATATTGGAGTTTGGTGTAGGTTTCATGCCAAGCATTTTGGATATCAAACTGCTTGATGAAGTTATCAAGGTAAAAAAATTTACTCTTCTTACTTTCTCTTTATTTTTTTTCTGAATAAGCTGCTTAAGGTTATTCTCTTTGGCTTTGGTATTTCTATTCTAAAGATTAAAAACCTTTTCTCTCATGCATTTATGTCATTAGTTCAATATTGGAGTCATCTACATATGATTTAATTTCTTTAACTCGAGAGTCATCTACTAAACTCTTTTCAGTTATTGCTTTAGTGGCCTTTTGTTTCTAATTATGGAGTGTTGTTATTTTCATAATTTGCAGATATAGATTATTTCGATTAATTAATTATCTTGACTCATGAATGAACAGGTTACAAATGTTGAAGCTGTTGAAATGGCTAGGAGATTAGCATTGAAAGAAGGTTTGCTGGTAAGTTATAAGTTAAAATATTGAGTATACCCTAGTTCTAGCTTTTGAGATTGTAACTGTTGTTGGTCACTTTAGTGCTTGAATTTACAAAACCGTTACTTTATTCCTACAAAAATTAATTAGTGCCTTTTCAGTTCATTTTCACAGTCAGATGCTTACTACATGTCCGATGTTTACTAGTTCTAAGGGTTCTTGTAAATATCTTTCTATATAATTTGTTGTATGTTTCATATTTTAATGTCAATTATCAGCAAACTCTTGCAATATTTTGATATTATGAATGCCTATAAACTGAAGAATGCAATCTTCATTTAGCTTTCCATGAATATTTTGTGTATATTAGCTATTGGTTTGAGAATTTTGCAAAGTTGGGGACCTAAACATCCGGTGCTTACTAGTTCAAAAGCTAGAATGAGGGTTCTTGTAAATATCTTTCTATCTAATTTGTTGTATGTTTGATATTTTAATGTCAATTATAAGCAAACTCTTGCAATATTTTGATATTATGAATGTCTATAAACTGAAGAACGCAATCTTCATTTAGCTTTCCATGAATATTTTGTGTGCATATTGACTATTGGTTTGACATTTTTCATGTGTTGTCTTGTATGCTGCTGGTTATTGCAATGTCACTATAAACTACCTCGTGGTTTGGTTTATAATTTTTAGAATGGCTTGTATCATAATTAATTCAAAATTTTATCTAGGTTGGGATTTCTTCAGGAGCTGCAGCTGCTGCTGCCATAAATTTAGCAAGACGGCCTGAAAATTCTGGGAAACTTATTGTGGTGAGTATATTTCCGATTTCTCAAATATTTGGGCTTTTGTTTCCATTGGATTTATTCGACACATTTTACATATAAGAATTGGTGTTGAAAATTGAATTGATAGAATAAAATGAAGCTTAGTGATTTTTTCTCACAACTAATAGGTGTTGTGCCTAGACACATGTTTCTCTCTGTTCACTTTAGTGCTTGTGTTTAGCTTGAGTTGTTGAATGTTGAACTCAATAGTTTATTATGTTTTTTGCATCTTCTTGGTCCCAGCCTCCCAGGATATGTTGGGTAAACATGCTTATTCTTTGCTATTCCATTCTCCATTTTAATTAGATCATTATAAATGGCTGGGGTTTAATTGAATATCTTTTGGGTTTCTGTGCTTTCTCAGAAGTGGCAATTGATGACAAAGCATAAAAGTGATCATAAGGGATTAGGAAACTTGACTTGATGTTGCCCAAGAATTAGCAAAATTGGAAATTTAGATAGCAGAAGAGTGGTGTATACAGAATTCATGCATTTAGATGTTTTTACTACTTTCCAGATAAACTCTTCTTTTGCTAATAAAGCTATTGATTCTTTCTTCACCTCTAATTTTGCACATCGAAGGTTATTTTTCCGAGTTTTGGTGAGAGATATATTTCTACTGCTCTCTTCCATTCTATCTACGAAGAGGTTCAGAAAATGTAAAATTTAGATTCTACCTTAACGAGGACAATGGCCCATTGAAGATTGAAGCTGCTCTCATGGCACTGCCATTCAAAGAAGTAGTTAGCAGCTTCCTCTTGCTTTGTATAGGTATATATTAACACTGTTGGATAGAATCAATGTTACAAGATAAACCTGTCTTCAGTATAGGTTTTAATCTTTGGATTTTATGCATCAGATGCATCATTTCGACAAAGTACAATTTTGAAGCTGAGGTCTTTGAGGAAGCTAAAGGGGGGCACTGAGATGATGTACAATGTCATTCTAATTTTCAATTTTTTTTACTGGTAATCTAGCATGGTCTATTCTTTTTCATTATTCTTCACTTTCCCTTCTCTAGTGTCAATGATGAGAGTAGTAATCAAATGTCTTACAGAATTGTCAACATTCTTTTTCCGATTTACTATTATCAGACAATGTATTTTGTATATTTAGATAGATGTTATGAAGGGACATTGTGGTTGACTATGGTTTGTCAGTGAGCTATGCCATTATTTATTTGCTCAGGCATAGTTATTACTTGCGAACCAATTATATATTGCTTCGTAGAATGCCAAAGAAAGAATTATACTTCATAGTTTTGCGTGTAATAGAGAAGAAATTCCTGGTTTTCATTTTATTCGTGATAATTTAAGTTTATACATTTCAGTTGAAAAACTTGTCACAAAATCAGCTTCAAAAGGGTTGGTCATACTAGTTTTCCATCTCTTTGCATATCAACCGTTGGATGCAATAAAAAATAAACAAACGGTTGGGATAGGTTTCATTTGATGGATTGTACCGGTAATGTATGAAATTATGAAATATTTGCTAGCTTGTCCCCATATTTATAAGCCAGTTCTATTGATGATTGCAAGTAAATTTCATCACTCTAAGGCAAAATCTATAGTTCTAGTGATGTTGTTTGTCTATTGTGGTTGTCCTTTTTTATCCATCTTATATTTTGTCATCTTCTGGCAATGTTAAGTTGTTTTGTCAATTTTCCCCTGATTATCTCGTTGAATGGAGAAAAGGTCGCACACAAAATATGCGTTTGTAGTGTCTACAATTTTGCATCATCCTAGCTTTGTAGAATAAATGACTGGAGAAAGATAAAAAATGTAAAATAAAATAGATTAAGAGGAGAGAAATCATGCTGCAAAACAGGAACATGGTTCTTTACAAATATTTGAAGACAGAGAATAGATGGCAGAAAATAAACTAATAGTTGTATTATTAAAAGAAAATATAAGTAATTGCCCCCTTAATTTTATAAAACTAGACCGGTTTGAACTTTCTTAGAATGCACAGTGGTCAAATTTGACTGTGTGATGAGGCGAGAATTATGGTATGCTTATTTGTAACTTATCGAAAGCCAAAATACAAAATAGTTTGTATTAAATTATTAATGTTGATTGGTGTTATAAGGAGTCTGATGTAAGTATTCTGCATCGTCCGTCGTAAGTAAAATTCATGAAGTTCAACCGAGAACCGACTTGGTGTCCAAGTTTTCAAAAGAAATCAAATATTAGTTCACTCTGGATGAAATCAGGTTCAACTGATCATAAATTAAACAATTGGAAACTCTGACAGATTGAAGGATTCAACCGGTTAAATCTAAAAATATGTATTTTCTTTTTATAGTTTTTTTTAAAAGATTTTTAAATTATTAATGAATTTTATTTGTTATTTTTTAATTGAAATATGATATATCACATTTGTATATTTTCATATATAACTTACTTTTTTATCCATTATGAATTGACAACTGAAATTTAAATTTAATTTTTCATATTATAGTTTGTTATTAATATTATTTTGTATATTATATTATTATTTCATATTATTATAGTTTGTTAATATTTAAAAGTTAGGGAGGAATAGGGCAAGCACGATCCATTCATCTTCAGTCCCATGTGATTTGAAGACAAAAGTGTGTTTGGTGATGCTTAATCTTGTCTACATGATTATACACATAAACCTTTTATGAAAGTGATAGAAAATATTTCTCTCCATGATTTATTCTAAGCTCATTTAACCACTATTTTAGTTGAAAGCAGTTTTGTTATAAATCTATTTATTTGTTTGTTTTTACTTTGAATTGGTTCTGAAATCACTGAACATGGACAAATAGAAGACAACACTAACACAAACTTGTATATATAATTGAAGTGTCTGTGAGCATTACTCTAATCTTGTTTTATTGATAGACCAGGTGGGGCAAGGAATAGTGTGGTGCTATGGGCCATGGAGATGAGATTGAGAAGACAATTCCACAGAAATGGATTACTCTGAAGAGTTTTTTAGATATTATTTCTAAATAAGTTTATTTTTGATCAAATTTGTACTGAGATCAAATGGTTTATTTCTATATTGGTTGCATTGCAATATGTTTTTTTTTTTTCTTCTTCTCAAACTCAAGTCCTTTTCATCTTTTTATTGTAATGAGACCACTCAGTCCCATCATATTCATAGTGTAAGTGACTATTGTTGAAATTGTAAGACCTGATGTGTGAGCTACATGTAAATGCTCTCTCCAATGTTATATATACTTTTTCCGATTCACTTAATTTCTGTGCAGGTAATTTCTGATTTAGGAAATTAAATCTAAGGAGATTCTAGTAAACAGAATAATGTCGATTATTACATCAATTATCAATATCCAAAGATTCTTATAAAAGAGATACATGACATCACTTTCAAAACACATATTTAAGTTCGACTGTTTTTCCTTTATCCTTTCTAAAAAAATCATAATACAATTGTAAAAATCACTTTTAGTTATTAACGATAAAATTAACCATAAATATTTGATATGTATAATTTAAATATGTCTTCAACCCGAGTGAGAATTGTTTTGTTTTCGTTTTCTTGTTGGTGATAGACTACATGGAATTTATTACCATAGAAGGTTACCTCTAAAAATATTATATTAATTAAGGTATTATGATTTGAAGAAAGTGGCACTCCTTTTGTACCATCATTGGTCCATATGCTAAGCCTAATTTGAAGGCCAATTAAATGCTGTGGACTTGTAGTAAGCAAAGCACTTCATTTTCCACATTATAGCAAAGATGTTGATTTACAAAAGCAAGGGGAGAGAACAAAAAGATAGAACCTAATGCTTTTAATTATATTAGGAAAAGGACAAAACTTTAATTGCATTCAAGTCTGTGGGATCACATTTTTATTTGGGCAATAACAATGATTTACTACTCTTCCTTTCCTCTCCATCCACACTCAACTAAACACAAATTTTTCATTCCTATGTTTTTCATATGACCTAATGCAAAAAAAAATGTCATGTTTTCATGCATTTTCAAACATGTGTCTTGTAAACAACCACCAACGATATTATTATTTCTATTATTAGTAGAAAGTGATCATCATGTGATTAAGGCCTATTTCTTTGTCACACTTTTCGGTTTTTTAGTTTTTCACGTTTAAAAATATTATTTGATAATTTTTTTAAAAACTGTTCTTTCCTCTGTTTTTTAAAATTAAAAAAAAATCAAAACTAATAAAAAATATTTTTATTTTTTAATTTCAAGACATTTTTATCGATAGTTATATTTAATCCTTTATTTTCATTATAATAATAAAGTTATAGCAGAAAAGGGAATAATAGCCCTATTAATCACAACCCTTATCTTATTTCACATGACAGCCATGCAATGTTAGGTCAAAATTATAATCGAAATTTATTACTTTTGGGAAATTTTACACCATTATCACTCATCTTCACTTAATTATTCCCATAATTTATTGAATTATGTTTCTTATACAGGATTTTGCAGTTAAATGCTTGTGCAAATGTCTATGCATTGGAAAAAAGTAACCTAACTTATTCAATTCTCATTAAAACATTGCTTCTCTATCATAAATCTATTCTCCTACTACCAATTAAATGTTCAAAAGTTATCTTATTAATTACGAAGAAAAGACAGGAAAACAAAATTGTAGATTATTACTACAAAGATTTATTGATACAAGATGAACAAAGTTTTCAAACCCATATTCAACAACCACTCCTTTCTTTTCATGTTAATATATTAATTGACAATCATTTTTTAGAATATAACCAGTACATAACTTTATTTTATTATATAACAGTAACAATCTTTAAATAATAATAATAATAATAATAATAATAATAATAATAATAATAATAATAATAATAATATATAATAAAATAGGATTGTTAACCGATTCTTAACTTTTTTTTAAGGTGTGAAGCATCTCTATGACTATGAAGTGTAGGTCAATAATTTTGTTTTGTTGGCTTCTTCGCACCAAACAAAATACAAGAGAGAAGAAAAAATAAAATAAATGGAAGAGAATAAATTGGAAGAGACACAATCAGTTGAACAATCTGAACGAAGAAACAATTTGAAATAATAATTTTACGAGTATTTTTCTATTTATATATTATTATTATTATTATTATTATTATTATTATTATTATTATTATTATTATTATTATTATTTTTACATCATGAGACTTAAACTCCAACCATAATGTGTGCATACACTAATAAGGAAAAAAAAACTTAAGATTTTTTTTTTAAAAATAAATCAATTCTTATACCCTTTAAGTATAGGACTGATAATATTTATTTCTAGATATACTTGTTTCTTAATAAAAGGGTTTTTGTGTGAAGTTCAACCTCATTCTGAAAAGACTCACTTAGCTTAAGATAATGTTTAATGTATTTTTAAAACAAAAAATTAAGGTAGATATTGATATCCTAACATTTTTAAATATTAGATATATTATTAAGGAGACTTAGTTATACATTTTTTAATTATTATATATGAATTTTCCATTTAGGAGATATTCATATTTTTTTAAACTATGATTTGAAAATAATCTTTAATAAATATGAGTGAATATAATCTTAGTGTTTCAAATGAAAATAAGAACAAAATCCTATGAATTTTAATGTTCTAATGTAACCGCGAAGGATAAAGACATTATAGTATTTTTATTATTAGAAGAAAACAATTCGTCATGCAATGAAGATAGATTTAACCTTTTATTGATATCTATCGATCAAAATTCTAAAACAAATAATACATTCGTGATGATAATGAATGTTAATCTAAAACTATATACAAATTTAGGTAAAATAAAAAGCAACTTTCTACTCGTCTCATTGTCATAATTTAAAAAAAATTAAAAAAGAAAACCTATACAATGATGAAAAAAAAGGACAAATGAGTGGGTTTGGACCATAAAAACACTTATCCGATCCAAGTGTTCTTTCACATTTTGATGGGTAACATAAACCTTCATTGACTCAAATGCTCTCATATATGCTCATGTTTAACGTCGCACGTTCTTGCCGTCAAACCTTAGCAACGCTTCACGTTCAGGGCGGCCAAATGTAATTTTTTCTCTTCTATGCAAAATCAGTACCAAATCTATTTTATTGCACGTTTTCTCTCAATTAGCATTTTTATTCGCTGAAAGCTATGAATGGATATATTTTCAAGGGCTTAGATAGCTTATGTTATCTTTCTTACCGATTTACTTTTGGACCTAAAGCTTTTTCATTGAGGTTATCTATTTCGTAAAAAAAAAATTAACTTCTTCCGCATTTTGATACCTATTTTAATATAGTATTATGTTCTTTTTCGTACTGATTACCTTCAATCCAAGTTTTTCTATTCAAAGATTATCGATTTTTAATTTTTATTGTGTTTATCTTTAATATTATAATAAAAAGCGAAGTTCAATTTTTCCATAAAAAATTATTTTTCTTTATCACGATTAAGGTTCAATATTGTCTTCTTTGACCATGATTAAGATTCTATATCTGTTTATACCCGTTTCTGTGTAGAATTATGTAATCTTGCTTACTGATTTGTTTTGATCTAAGGTTTTTCTATTCAAAAGTATTGGACGACGAAGCTTGGTGAAAGCTCAACCCGTAGGTATCAAATTAGGGTTTAATGATCTTTAGTTTTGCATTTACTTATGGGTTAGGCTTCATTCAAATATATGTATTTTTGGTTGGCTCAAAAATTGTAACTTTTTATATCATAAGGGAAATACATGGAGCGAGATGCATGAAAAATGATAATATCATTAGTTTTCTATAAAAGTTTATCTTTATAGCACTTTAATATTGTTAACATTTCAAATTTCAAAGTCTAGAATAGAGGGGACATTTTCCTCTTTTCATCATGCTTATAAGTACACATTTGTGATTGTTATATTTCTATATTAAGTTTGTTATTCTCCATATATTTGATTCACTATCCAACATGTCCAATTTGCAAAAAAAATATCACTCTATTTCGGAACTCAATGCTAAAAAAGAAAATTGAAATATATTGGCAAAGGTGATAAACCTGTGGTTTGTTTCAGATTTCATTAAACACAAATTGTCATTTTTCATAGAATTTGTTATGCAAGATATGAAGGTCAATTTCACTATCATGCTTTGAATACATTTTAAATTACACTCATTTGTGCTTTCATTATCGATATTACCTTAATTTGTGTTTTCATTATCTTAATGCAGGGTGACAAAATTTAGACATCTATTAGGAGATCTCTTATCTATAAATTTCAAAATGAAATTACTAAGGGACATGCTTACTCTATTCAAAATTTTGGTTAAGTCGGAGTTACACAAACTTTCTTACTCTTCTAAACAAACTAGCAAAGATGAGTTCTTTCAATCTACTTGTAGAAATACAATAAAAGGTTAAAAATATTGTAAACAATTGTCATGGTGATTATTAGTCTACTCATTAATTATTCATGTTAATTAATAATGTTCATATTAGTCATTGTCTATTCATTTAATTTTAATTAATAATGTTCATATTTGTTTTTACGGGAGATAAGTTTTATAATTCCTGGCACTATAAAACATATCATTCATGATGATAATGGTGGTGTACAACTTGTGTTTGCAAAAAAAAAAAAATATCAAGATTCCAAAATTATAAACATGTCATGAAAGTCATCCCTAGGTACTAATCAATGCTAATTTTTTACCATCATATTTCAATTTTTTTATAAAATTGTTTTAAATAATATATCATTGCTTATGAATTTCGGGTACAAGCTTAAGGTCGAGGTCATTACGAAACATACTCAACAACTTTTGTTATATTTTTATAGGGATGCTACTGATTTGTTAAAAAAAAAATCATGTGTAAAGATGTTTGACTCATATGATAATATTTTTTCTATATTTATTATTTATTATATCTATTTATTACATTACATTGAATATTCAATATGGTTGTTTATTGTTTATAGGTTGTTGTTAATGGGA